TGGGGAAAGGTTTAAGGTTTTTGGCGTTAGGGTTAAAATCACTGTCCAAAACCTTTGTAGGAACACTTTCCAACCTTTTGGAGTTAGATAGACCAAAAAAAGAATGAAAAATGAAAAAAAATATATTTGGGGTTTCCGGGCTTCCTGAATGTAATACCCGGGTATTAGGTCATGGGACTATGGTAAGGTTTAAGGTTTTTGGCGTTTGGGTTAAATCACTGTCCAAAACCTTTGTAGGAACTCTTTTCCAACCTTTTGGAGTTAGACCAAAAAAAGAATGAAAAATGAAAAAAATAATATTTGGGGTTTTCGGGCTTCCTTAATGTAATACCCGGGTATTAGATTTTAAGGCCAGGGTAAGGTTTAAGTTTTTTGGCATTAGGGTTAAAATCACTGTCTAAAACCTTTGTAGGAACTCTTTTCCAACCTTTTGGATTTGGTTAGACCAAAAAAAAAAGAAAAATGAAAGAAAAATATTTGGGGTGTTCAGGCTTCCTAAAAGTAATACCCGGGTATTAGGTTTTGGGGCTAGGGTAAGGTTTAAGGTTTTTGGCATAAGGGTTAAAATCACTGTCCAAAACCTTTTGGAGTTAGTTAGACCAAAAAAAAAGAAAAATGAAAAAACAATATTTGGGGAGTTCAGGCTTCCTAAAAGTAATACCCGGGTATTAGGTTTTGTGGCAAGGGTAAGGTTTAAGGTTTTTGGCATAAGGGTTAAAATCCCTGTCCAAAACCTTTGTAGGAACTCTTTTCCAACCTTTTGGAGTTGGTTAGACTAAAAAAAAATGAAAAATGAAAAAAAAATATTTGGGGTTTTCGGGCTTCCTGAAGGTAATACCCGGGTATTAGGTTTTGGGGCTATGGTAAGGTTTAAGTTTTTTGGCGTTAGGGTTAAAATCACTGTCCAAAACCTTTGTAGGAACTCTTTTCCAACCTTTTGGAGTTAGTTAGACCAAAAAATATGAAAAAAGAAAAAAATATTATTGGGGGTTTTCAGGCTCCCTGAAAGTAATACCCGGGTATTAGGTTTTGGGGCTATGGTAAGGTTTAAGTTTTTTGGCGTTAGGGTTAAAATCACTGTCCAAAACCTTTGTAGGAACTCTTTTCCAACCTTTTGGAGTTAGACCAAAAAAAAAAAGAAAAATGAAAAAAAAATATTTGGGGTGTTCAGGCTTCCTAAAAGTAATACCCGGGTATTAGGTTATGGGGCTATGGTAAGGTTTAACGTTTTGGCGTTAGGTTTAAAATCACTGTCCAAAACCTTTGTAGGAACTCTTTAACAACCTTTTGGATTTAGTTAGACCAAAAAAAAATGAAAAATTAAAAAAAATATATTTGGGGTGTTCAGGCTTCCTAAAAGTAATACCCGGGTATTAGGTTATGGGGCTATGGTAAGGTTTAAGGTTTTTGGCGTTAGGGTTAAAATCACTTTCCAAAACCTTTGTAGGAACTCTTTTTCAACCTTTTGGAATTAGATAGACCAAAAAAAAAATGAAAAATGAAAAAAAAAATATTTGGGGTTTACGGGCTTCCTGAATGTAATACCCGGGTATTAGATTTTAAGGCCAGGGAAAGGTTTAAGTTTTTTGGCGTTAGGGTTAAAATCACTGTCCAAAACCTTTGTAGGAACTCTTTTCCAACCTTTTGGAGTTAGTTAGACCAAAAAATATGAAAAAAGAAAAAAATATTATTGGGGGTTTTCGGGCTCCCTGAAAGTAATACCCGGGTATTAAGTTTTGGGGCTATGGTAAGGTTTAAGTTTTTTGGCATTAGGTTTAAAATCACTGTCCAAAAACTTTGTAGGAACTCTTTTCCAACCTTTTGGAGTTACTTAGACCAAAAAAAAATGAAAAATGAAAAAAAAATGTTTGGGGTTTTCGGGCTTCCTGAATGTAATAACCGGGTATTAGATTTTAAGGCTAGGGTAAGGTTTAAGTTTTATGGCGTTAGGGTTAAAATCACTGTCCAAAACCTTTGTAGGAACTCTTTCCCAACCTTTTGGAGTTAGTTAGACCAAAAAAAAAAAAGAAAAATGAAAAAAAAATATTTGGGGTGTTCGGGCTTCCTGAAGGTAATACCCGGGTATTAGATTTTAAGGCCAGGGTAAGGTTTAAGTTTCTTGGCATTAGGGTTAAAATCACTGTCCAAAACCTTTGTAGGAACTCTTTTCCAAACTTTTGGAGTTAGTTAGACCAAAAAAAAAAGAAAAATGAAAAAAAAAATATTTGGGGTGTTCAGGCTTCCTAAAAGTAATACCTGGGTATTAGGTTATGGGGCTATGCTAAGGTTTAAGGTTTTTGGTGTTTGGGTTAAAATCACTGTCCAAAACCTTTGTAGGAACTCTTTTCCAACCTTTTGGAGTTGGTTACACCAACAAAAATGTAAAATGAAAAAAAAAATATTTGGGGTGTTCGGGCTTTCTGAAGGTAATACCTGGGTATTAGGTTATGGGGCTATGGTAAGGTTTAAGGTTTTTGGCATTAGGTTTAAAATCACTGTCCAAAACCTTTGTAGGAACTCTTTTCCTACCTTTTGGAGTTAGTTAGACCAAAAAAAATGAAAAATGAAAAAAAACATTTGGGGTGTTCAGGCTTCCTAAAAGTAATACCCGGGTATTAGGTTATGGGGCTATGGTAAGGTTTAACGTTTTGGCGTTAGGTTTAAAATCACTGTCCAAAACCTTTGTAGGAACTCTTTCCAACCTTTTGGACTTAGTTAGACCAAAAAAAAATGAAAAATGAAAAAAGAATATTTGGGGTTTCCGGGCTTCCTAAAAGTAATACCCGGGTATTAGGTTATGGGGCTAGGGTAAGGTTTAAAGTTTTTGGCGTTAGGTTTAAAATCACTATCCAAAGCCCTTGTAGGAACTCTTTTCCAACCTTTTGGAGTTGGTTACACCAACAAAAATTTAAAATGAAGAAAAAAAATATTTTGGGTTTTCTGGCTTCCTGAATGGAATACCCGGGTATTAAGTTTTGGGGCTAGGGAAAGGTTTAAGGTTTTTGGCGTTAGGGTTAAAATCACTGTCCAAAAACTTTGTAGGAACTCTTTTCCACCTTTTGGAGTTGGTTACACCAACAAAAATGTAAAATTAAAAAAAAATATTTGGGGTGTTCGGGCTTCCTGAAGGTAATACCCAGGTATTAGGTTTTGGGGCTAGGGTAAGGTTTAAGGTTTTTGGCATTAGGGTTAAAATCACTGTCCAAAACCTTTGTAGGAACTCTTTTCCAACCTTTTGGAGTTAGTTAGACAAAAAAAAAAAAAGAAAAAAGAAAAAAAAAATATTTGGGGTTTTCGGGCTTCCTGAAGGTAATACCCGGGTATTAGGTTATGGGGCTATGGTAAGGTTTAAGGTTTTTGGCGTTAGGTTTAAAATCACTGTCTAAAACCTTTGTAGGAACTCTTTTCCAACCTTTTGAGTTAGTTAGACCAAAAAAAAAAGAAAAAAAAAAAAATTGGGGTGTTCGGGCTTCCTGAAGGTAATACCCGGGTGTTAGGTTAGTTCAACAAAGTTCAACAACACCACAAACTCAAGTTCAAACATGACACGAACTCAAGTTCAAACACGACACAAACTCAATCTCAAAAACACCATGAACTCAAGTTCAAACACAACACAAACTAAAGTTCAACAAACACAAAAATTCAAGTTCAAACATAACACAAACTAAAGTTCAACAAACACACAAACTCAAAATTTACAATTGCCAAAACCTCAAGTTTAACAAATACCACACCCTCAAGTTCAACAAACACACAAACTCAAGATCAAACATGACACAAAATCAATTTCAACCAACACCCAAATCTCAAGTTTAACAATTGCCACAACCTCAAGTTCAACAAATTCCACAAACTCAAATTCAAACACAACACAATCTCAAGTTCATCCAACACCAAAATCTCAAGTTTAACAATTGCCACAACCTCAAGTTCAACAAACACACAAACTCAAGTTCAACAAATGCCACAAATTCAAATTCAAACACGAAAAAAAACACGAAAGTTCAAAAACACCAAAAACTCAATTTCAAACACAACACAAACTCAAGTTTAACAAACACACTAACTCAAGTTCAACAGACAACTGATTCTAAAGTTTAACAATTTCCACAACCTCAAGTTCAAAAACAACAGACTCAAGTTCAAAAAACACCACAAATTCAAGTTCAAACGCAACAAAAACCCAAGTTCAACAATTGTTTAACAATTGCTACAACCTCAAGTCCAAACAATTCCACACCCTCAAGTTCAAAAACACCACAAAGGCAAGTTCAAAAACGACACAAACTCAAGTTCAACAAATGCCCAAAACTCAAATTCAAACACGAAACAAACTCAAGTTAAAAAACACCACAAACTCAAGTTCAAAAACACCACAAACGCAAGTTCAAAAACGACACAAACTCAAGTTTAACAAATGCCAAAAACTCATATTCAAACACCAAACAAACTCAAGTTAAAAAACACCACAAACTCAAGTTCAAACACAACACAAACTCAAGTTCAACAAACACACAAACTCAAGTTTAACAATTGCCACAACCTCAAGTTCAAACAATTCCCCACCCTCAAGATCAAAATCACCACAAACTCAAGTTCAAACACGACACAAACTCAAGTTCAACAAATGCCAAAAACTCAAATTCAAACACGAAACAAACTCAAGTTAAAAAATACCACAAACTCAAGTTCAAACACAACACAAAGTCATGTTCAACAAACACACAAAGTCAAGTTCAAACACATCACAAACTAAAGTTCAACAAACACACAAACTCAAGTTCAAAAAATGCCAAAAACTCATATTCAAACACCAAACAAACTCAAGTTCAAAAAATGCCAAAAACTCATATTCAAACACGAAACAAACTCAAGTTAAAAAACACCACAAACTAGAGTTCAAACACAACACTCAATCAAGTTAAACAAACACACATCTCAAGTTCAAAAACACCACAAACTCAAGTTCAAACACGACACAAACTCAAGTTCAAAAAATGCCAAAAACTCATATTCAAACACCAAACAAACTCAAGTTAAAAAACACCACAAACTCAAGTTCAAACACAACACATACTAAAGTTCAACAAACACACAATCTCAAGTTCAACCAAAAACACCTGACTCTCAAGTTTAACAATTCGCTTCAACCTCAAGTTCAAAAACAACAGAAACTCAAGTTCAAAAAAACACAAACTCAAGTTAACCAAACACGCAAATTCAAGTTCAAAAACACCACAAACTCAAGTTCAACAAACACCACAAACTCAAGTTCAAACACAACACAAACTCAAGTTCAACAAACACACAAATTCAAGTTCAAAAACACCACAAACTCAATTGTAAACACGACACAAACTCAAGTTCAACAAACTCAAGTTCAAACACAACACAGAGTTCAAATAACACACAAAGTCAAGTTCAACAAACCAACAAAGTCAAGTTCAAAAACACCACAAACTCAAGATGAAATGCACAACAAACTCAAGTTCAAACATGACAAAACTCAAGTTCAACCCAGCCACAAACTCAAGTTCAAACGCGAAACAAACTCAAGTTCAAAAACACCACAAACTCAAGTTCAAACACAAAAAAACTCAAGTTCAACAAACACACAGACTCAAGTTAAAACACATCACAAACTCAAGTTAAAAAAACACTACAAACTCAAGTTCAAAAACGGAACAAACTCAAGTTCCAAAACACCACAACCTCAAGTTCAAAGAAACAAACAAACTCAAGTTCAACCAACGCGACAAACTCAAGTTTAACATATGCAACCAATTAAAGTTCACTAAAAACCACAGATTCAAGATTAATAATTGCCACAACCTCAAGTTCAACAAAAACACAAACTCAAGTTTAACCAGCACCCAAATCTCAAGTTTAATTGCCACAACCTCAAGTTCAACAATTAAACAAACTCAAGTTTAAACACACCACAAACTCAAGTTCAAACATGAAACAAACTCAAGTTAAAAAAAACACACACAAACTCAAGTTCAACAAACAACACAAACTCAAGTACAAACATGACACAAATTCAAGTTCAAACACACCACAAACTCAAGTTCAACCAAGACCCAAATCTCAAGTTTAACAAATTCCACACCCTCAAGTTCAAAAACACAACACCCTCAAGTTCAAAAACAACACATACTCAAGTTCAAAAACACCACAAACTCAAGTTCAAAAACACAAGAAACTCAAGTTCAAACACGACAAACTCAAGTTCAAACATGACACAAACTCAAGGTCAACAATCAAACAAACTCAAGTTCAACAAAAACACAAAATCAAGTTCAAAAACACTACAAACTCAAGTTCAAACACAACACAAACTGAAGTTCAACAAACACACAAACTTAAGTTCAAAAACACCACAAACTCAAGTTGAAACATGACACAAACTCAAATTCAACAAACACAAAAACTCAAATTCAACCAACTCCTAATTCTCAAGTTAAATAATTTCCACAACCTTAAGTTCAAAAACGACACAAACTCAGGTTCAAAAACAACACAAACTCAAGTTCAAAAACACCAAAAACTAAAGTTCAACCAATACCCATTTCTCAAGTTTAACAATTTCCACAACCTCAAGTTAAAAAAAACACAGACTCAAGCAAAAAGACACCACAAACTCAAGTTCAAACATGAAACATACTCGTCAAAAAAACACAAAAACAAATTCAACAAACACCACAAACTCAAGTTCAAACAGAACACATACTTAAGTTCAACAAACACACAATCTCAAGTTCAATCAAAAACACCTGACTCTCAAGTTTAACAATTGCCACAACCTCAAGTTCAAAAACAACACAAACTCAAGTTCAAAAAAACACAAACTCAAGTTCGCCAAACACGCAAATTCAAGTTCAAAAACACCACAAACTCAAGTTCAACAAACACCACAAACTTAAGTTCAAACACAACACAAACTCAAGTTCAACAAACACACAAATTCAAGTTCAAAAACACCACAAACTCAATTGTAAACACGACACAATATCAAGTTCAACAAACTCAAGTTCAAACACAACACAAACTAGAGTTCAAATAACACACAGTCAAGTTCAACAAACACACAAAGTCAAGTTCAAAAACACCACACCCTCAAGTTCAAAAACACCACAAACTCAAGATCAAATACACAACAAACTCAAGTTCAAACATGACAAAACTCAAGTTCAAACACGACAAACTCAAGTTCAAACACGACACAAACTCAAGGTCAACAATCAAACAAACTCAAGTTCAACAAAAACAAAAAATCAAGTTCAAAAATGCCACAAACTCAAGTTCAAACACAACAAAAACTGAAGTTCAACAAACACACAAACTAAAGTTCAAAAACACCACAAACTCAAGTTGAAACATGACACAAACTCAAATTCAACAAACACACAAACTCAAGTTCAACCACTACCCAATTCTCAAGTTTAACAAATTCCACACCCTCAAGTTCAAAAACTCCAAAAACTCAAGTTCAAAAACAAGACAAACACAAGTTCAAAAACGACACATACTCAAGTTCAACAAATTCCAAAATTTCAAGTTCAAACACTAAAACAAAATCAAGTTCGAAAACAACACAAACTCATGTTCAAATACAACACAAACTCAAGTTCAACAAACAAACAAACTCAAGTTCAAAAACACCAAAAACTCAAGTTGAGAAACAACACAAAATCAATTTCAACAAACACACAAACTCAAATTCAACCAACAGCTGATTCTCAAGTTTAACAAATTCAACAACCTCTTGTTCAAAAACAACAGAAACTCAAGTTCAACAAACAACATGAACTCAAGTTCAAACACGACACAAACTCAAGTTCAACCAACACCCAAATCTCAAGTTTAACAATTGGCACAACCTCAAGTTCAACAAACACCAAAAACTCAAGTTCAAACACACAACAAACTCAAGTTCAAAAAACGCCACAAACTCAATTTCAACAATTGCCACAAACTCAAGTTCAAACACACCACAAACTCAAGTTCAAATACGACACAAACTTAAGTTCAACCAACACCCAAATATCAAGTTTAACAATTGCCACAACCTCAAGTTCAACAAACACACAGTCAATTTCAACAAATGCCACAAACTCAAGTTAAAACATGAAACATACTTAAGTCAAAAAAACCCACAAAATCAAATTCAACAAACACACAAACTCAAGTTCAAAAACGAAACAAACTCAAGTTCAACAAACACACAAACTCAAGTTCAACCACTACCCAATACTTAAGTTAAAAAAAAACCACAAACTCAAGTTCAAACACGACACAAACTATAGTTCAATCAACAACCAAATCTTAAGTTTAACAATTGCCACAACCTTAAGTTCAACAACCACACAAACTCAAGTTCAACAAATGCCACAAACACAAGTTCAAAACATGAAACAACCTCTTGTTCAAAAACAACACAAACTCAAGTTTAACAAACAACATGAACTCAAGTTCAAACACGACACAAACTCAAGTTCAACCAACACCCAAATCTCAAGTTTAACAATTGGCACAACCTCAAGTTCAACAAACACCAAAAACTCAAGTTCAAACACACAACAAACTCAAGTTCAAAAAACACCACAAACTCAAGTTCAAATATGACACAAACTTAAGTTCAACCAACACCCAAATATCAAGTTTAACAATTGCCACAACCTCAAGTTCAACAAACACACAGTCAATTTCAACAAATGCCACAAACTCAAGTTAAAACATGAAACATACTCAAGTCAAAAAAACCCACAAAATCAAATTCAACAAACACACAAACTCAAGTTCAAAAACGAAACAAACTCAAGTTCAACAAACACACAAACTCAAGTTCAACCACTACCCAATACTTAAGTTAAAAAAAAACCACAAACTCAAGTTCAAACACGACACAAACTATAGTTCAATCAACAACCAAATCTTAAGTTTAACAATTGCCACAACCTTAAGTTCAACAACCACACAAACTCAAGTTCAACAAATGCCACAAACACAAGTTCAAAACATGAAACAAACTCATGTTCAAAAACAACACAAACTTAAGTTCAACTTAAACACAAACTCAAGTTAAACAATTGCCACAACCTCAAGTTCAACAAATTCCTCACCCTTAAATTAAAAAAAACCACAAACTCAAGTTCAAAATCACCACAAACTCAAGTTCAAACATGACACAAACTCAAGTTCAACAAAAACCACAAACTCAAATTCAAACACGAAACTCAAGTTCAGAAACACCACCAACTCAAGTTCAACAAATTTCACAAACTCAAGTTCAACAAACACACAAAATTAAGTTAAAAAACACCAAAAACTCAAGTTCAAAAACACCACAAACGCAAGTTCAACAAACACCTCAAACTCAAGTTCACCAACCACACAAACTCAAGTTCAACAAACACCAAAAACTCAAGTTCAAACATGAAACAAACTCATGTTCAAAAACATCACAAACTTACGTTCAACAAACACAAAAACTCAAGTTCAAACATGACACAAACTCAAGTTTTACAATTGCCACAACCTCAAGTTCAACAAATTCCTCACCCTTAAATTAAAAAAAACCACAAACTCAAGTTCAAAATCACCACAAACTCAAGTTCAAACATGACACAAACTCAAGTTCAACAAAAACCACAAACTCAAGTTCAAACACAAAACTCAAGTTCAGAAACACCACCAACTCAAGTTCAACAAATTTCACAAACTCAAGTTCAATAAACAAACAAAATCAAGTTCAAAAACACCACAAACTCAAGTGCAAACACGACACAAACTCAAGTTCAATAAACACCACAAACTCAAGTTCAAACACGAAAATCAAGTTCAAAAACACCACCAACTCAAGTTCAAAATGACCACAAACTCAAGTTCAACAAACACACAAAATCAAGTTCAAAAACACCACAAACTCAAGTTCAAACAGGACACAAACTCAAGTTCAACAAACACCACAAACTCAAGTTCAAACATGAAACAAACTCATGTTCAAAAACATCACAAACTTACGTTCAACGAACACAAAAACTCAAGTTCAAACACGACACAAACTCAAGTTCAACAAAAACAGAAACTCAAGTTTAACAATTGCCACAACCTCAAGTTCAACAAATTCCACACCCTCAACTTCAAAAAACCACAAACAAGAAGTTCAAAAACACCACAAACTCAAGTTCAAACACGACACAAACTAAAGTTCAACAAAAACCACAAACTCAAGTTCAAACGCGAAACTCAAGTTCAGAAACACCACCAACTCAAGTTCAACAAATTTCACAAACTCAAGTTCAAAAACACCACAAACTCAAGTGCAAACACGACACAAACTCAAGTTCAACCATCACCCAAATCTCAAATTTAACAATTGCCAAAAACTTAAGTTAAAAAAACACACAAACTCAAGTTCAAAAACACCACAAACTCAAGTTAAAAAAACACACAAACTCAAGTTTAACAATTGCCCCACCTTAAGTTCGAAAAACACAAACTCAAGTTCAAAGACACCACAAACTCAAGTTCAAACATGACACAAACTAAAGTTCAACAAAAACCACAAACTCAAGTTCAAACACGACACAAACTATAGTTCAATCAACAACCAAATCTAAAGTTTAACAATTGCCACAACCTTAAGTTCAACAACCACACAAACTCAAGTTCAACAAATGCCACAAACACAAGTTCAAAACATGAAACAAACTCATGTTCAAAAACAACACAAACTTAAGTTCAACTTAAACACAAACTCAAGTTAAACAATTGCCACAACCTCAAGGTCAACAAATTCCTCACCCTTAAATTAAAAAAAACCACAAACTCAAGTTCAAAATCACCACAAACTCAAGTTCAAACATGACACAAACTCAAGTTCAACAAAAACCACAAACTCAAGTTCAAACACAAAACTCAAGTTCAGAAACACCACCAACTCAAGTTCAACAAATTTCACAAACTCAAGTTCAACAAACACACAAAATTAAGTTAAAAAACACCACAAACTCAAGTGCAAAAACGACACAAACTCAAGTTCAAAATCACCACAAACTCAAGTTCAAACATGACACAAACTCAAGTTCAACAAAAACCACAAACTCAAGTTCAAACACAAAACTCAAGTTCAGAAACACCACCAACTCAAGTTCAACAAATTTCACAAACTCAAGTTCAACAAACACACAAAATTAAGTTAAAAAACACCACAAACTCAAGTGCAAAAACGACACAAACTCAAGTTCAACAAACACCTCAAACTCAAGTTCACCAACCACACAAACTCAAGTTCAACAAACACCAAAAACTCAAGTTCAAACACGACACAAACTCAAGTTTTACAATTGCCACAACCTCAAGTTCAACAAATTCCTCACCCTTAAATTAAAAAAAACCACAAACTCAAGTTCAAAATCACCACAAACTCAAGTTCAAACATGACACAAACTCAAGTTCAACAAAAACCACAAACTCAAGTTCAAACACAAAACTCAAGTTCAGAAACACCACCAACTCAAGTTCAACAAATTTCACAAACTCAAGTTCAATAAACAAACAAAATCAAGTTCAAAAACACCACAAACTCAAATGCAAACACGACACAAACTCAAGTTCAATAAACACCACAAACTCAAGTTCAAAACACGAAAATCAAGTTCAAAAACACCACCAACTCAAGTTCAAAATGACCACAAACTCAAGTTCAACAAACACACAAAATCAAGTTCAAAAACACCACAAACTCAAGTTCAAACATGACAGAAACTCTAGTTCAACAAAAACTAAAAACTCAAGTTCAAACAAAACACAAACTCAAGTTCAAAATGACCACAAACTCAAGTTCAACAAAAACCACAAACTCAAGTTCAAACGCGAAACTCAAGTTCAAAAACACCACCAACTCAAGTTCAACAAATTTCACAAACTCAAGTTCAAAAACAGCACAAACCCAAGTGCAAACACGACACAAACTCAAATTCAACCATCACCCAAATCTCAAATTTAACAATTGCCACAAACTTAAGTTAAAAAACACACAAACTCAAGTTATAAAAACACACAAACTCAAGTTTAACAATTGCCCCACCTTAAGTTCGAAAAACACAAACTCAAGTTCAAAAACACCACAAACTCAAGTTAAAAAAACACACAAACTCAAGTTTAACAATTGCCCCACCTTAAGTTCGAAAAACACAAACTAAAGTTCAAAGACACCACAAACTCAAGTTCAAAGACACCACAAATTAAAGTTAAAAAAACACACAGACTCAAGTTCAAAAACATTAAAAACTCAAGTTCAAACACGACACGAACTCAAGTTCAACAAACACACTTACTCAAGTTCAACCAATACCCAAATCTCAAGTTTAAAAAATTTCAAAACCTCAAGTTCAAAAAACACACAAACTCAAGTTCAAACACACGACAAACTCAAGTTTGAACACGACACAAACTCAAGTTCAAAAAACAAAAAACTCAAGTTCAAACAATACTCAATTCTCAAGTTAAACAATTTCCACAACCTCAAGTTCAAAAATATCATAAACTCAAGTTCAAAAACACCACAAACTCAAGCTCAAAAACAACACAAACTCAAGTTCAAACACAACACAAACTAAAGTTCAACAAACACACAAACTCAAGTTCAAACACACAACAAACTCAAGTTTGAACACGACACAAACTCAAGTTCAAAAACAAAAAAACTCAAGTTCAAACAATACTCAATTCTCAAGTTAAACAATTTCCACAACCTCAAGTTCAAAAATATCATAAACTCAAGTTCAAAAACACCACAAACTCAAGCTCAAAAACAACACAAACTCAAGTTCAAAAACACCACAAACTCAAGTTCAAACACGACACGAACTCAAGTTCAACAAACACAATAACTCAAGTTTAACCAATTCCCAAATCTCAAGTTTAAAAATTGCAACAACCTTAAGTTAAAAAAAACACACAAACTCAAGTTCAACCAACACACAAACTCAAATTAAAAAACATCACAAACTCAAGTTAAAACACGACACAAACTCAAGTTCAACAAAATCACAAACTCAAGTTCAACCAATACCAAATTCTCAAGTTTAACAATTTCAACAACTTAAGTTCAAAAACACCACAAACTCAAGTTCAATCACGAAACAAACTTAAGTTAAAAAACACCACAAACTCAAGTTCAAAATCACCACAAACTCAAGTTCAAACATGACACAAACTCAAGTTCAAGAAACACACAAACTCAAGTTCAACCAACACCTGATTCTAAGGTTTAACAATTTCCACAACTTCAAGTTCAAAAACAACAGAAACTCAAGTTCAAAAAACACACAAACTCAAGTTCACCAAATACCCGAATTCAAGTTCACCAAATACCACAAACTCAATTCAAAAACAACACAAACTCAAGTTCAAAAACACAAAAAACTCAAGTTCACCAAACACGCAACTCAAGTTCAAAAACGACACAAACTCAAGTTCAAAAAACACACAAACTCAAGTTCACCAAAGACCCAAATTCAAGTTCAAAAACACCACAAACTCAATTCAAAAACAACACAAACTCAAGTTAAAAACACAAAAACTCAAGTTCAACCAATACCCAATTCCAAGTTTACAATTTCCACAACCTCAAGTTAAAAAACACCAGAAACTCAAGTTCAAAAACACAAAAAACTAAAGTACAACACAACACAAAGTCAAGTTCAACAAATGCCACAAAGTCAAGTTCAACAAATGCCACAAAGTCAAGTTCAAAAACGAAACAAAGTCAAGTTAAAAAACACCACAAACTCAAGTTAAAAAAAAAACAAACTCAAGTTCAACAAACACACAAACTCAAGTTCAAAAACACACAAACACAAGTTCAAAAACACCAAAAACTCAAGTTCAAAGACAATACAAACTCAAGTTCACCAAACACGCAACTCAAGTTCAACCAAAACCTGATTCTCAAGTTTAACCTTTTCCAAAACCTCAAGTTCAAAAACAACAGAAACTCAAGTTCAATAATCACACAATCTCAAGTTCACCAAACACGAAACAAACTCAAGTTCAAAATACACACAAACTCAGGTTCAAACACAACACAAACTCAAGTTCAACAAACACACAAACTATAGTTCAAAAACGACACAAACTCAAGTTCAAACACGACACAAACTCAAGTTCAAAAAAACACAAACTCAAGTTCAACCAACACCTGATTCTCAAGTTTAACAATTTCCACAACTTCAAGTTCAAAAACAACAAAAACTCAAGTTCAAAGACAATACAAACTCAAGTTCACCAAACACGCAACTCAAGTTCAACCAACACCTGATTCTCAAGTTTTACCATTTCCACAACCTCAAGTTCAAAAACAACAGAAACTCAAGTTCAATAATCACACAATCTCAAGTTCACCAAACACGAAACAAACTCAAGGTCAAAATACACACAAACTCAAGTTCAAACACAACACAAACTCAAGTTCAACAAACACACAAACTATAGTTCAAAAACGACACAAACTCAAGTTCAAACACGACACAAACTCAAGTTCAACAAACACACAAACTCAAGTTCAACCAACACCTGATTCTCAAGTTTAACAATTTCCACAACTTAAAGTTCAAAAACATCAAAAACTCAAGTTCAAAGACAATACAAACTCAAGTTCACCAAACACGCAACTCAAGTTCAACCAACACCTGATTCTCAAGTTTTACCATTTCCACAACCTCAAGTTCAAAAACAACAGAAACTCAAGTTCAAAAAACACACAAACTCAAGTTCAACCAACACCTGATTCTCAAGTTTAAAAATTTTCCCAAACTCAAGTTCAACAAATGCCACAAACTCAAGTTCAAACACGAAACAAACTCAAGTTCAAAAACACCACAAACTCAAGTTCAAACACGACACAAACTCTGGTCTACCAAAAACCACAAACTCAAGTTCAACCAACACCTGATTCTCAAGTTTAAAAATTTCCACAAACTCAAGTTCAACAAACAACACGAACTCAAATTCAAAAAACACACAAACTCAAGTTCAACCAACATCCAAATCTCAAGCTTGAAAATTGCCACAACCTCAAGTTCAACAAACACACAAACTTAAGTTCAAACACACCACAAACTCATGGTCAAACACACTACAAACTCAAGTTCAAACATGACACAAACTCAAGTTCAACAAACACCACAAACTCAAGTTCAACAAACGCCACAAACTCAAGTTCAAACATGAAACAAACACAAGTTCAAAAACACCACAAACTCACGTTCAAACACAACACAAATTAAAGTTAAAAAAACACACAGACTCAAGTTCAAAAACACTAAAAACTCAAGTTCAAACACGACACGAACTCAAGTTCAACAAACACACTAACTCAAGTTCAACCAATACCCAAATCTCAAGTTTAAAAAATTTCAAAACCTCAAGTTAAAAAAAACAGACAAACTCAAGTTAAACAAACAACATTAACTAAAGTTCAAACACGACACAAACTAAAGTTCAACGACCACCCAAATCTCAAGTTTAACAATTGCCACAACCTCAAGTTCAAAAAACACACAAACTCAAGTTCAAACACACGACAAACTCAAGTTTAAACACGACACAAACTCAAGTTCAAAAACAAAAAAACTCAAGTTCAAACAATACTCAATTCTCAAGTTAAACAATTTCCACAACCTCAAGTTCAAAAATATCATAAACTCAAGTTCAAAAACACCACACACTCAAGCTCAAAAACAACACAAACTCAAGTTCAAACACAACACAAACTCAAGTTCAAACACGACACGAACTCAAGTTCAACAAACACAATAACTCAAGTTTAACAAATTCCCAAATCTCAAGTTTAAAAATTGCAACAACCTTAAGTTCAACAAAACACACAAACTCAAGTTCAAACACACCACAAACTCAAGTTCAAAAACACCACAAACTCAAGTTCAAACATGACAAGAACTCAAGTTCAAACACGAAACAAACTTAAGTTCAAAAACACCACAAACTCAAGGTCAAACACAACACAAACTCAAGTTCAACCAACACACAAACTCAAATTCAAAAACATCACAAACTCAAGTTAAAACACGACACAAACTCAAGTTCAACAAAATCACAAACTTTAGTTCAACCAATACCCAATTCTCAAGTTTAACAATTTAAACAACCTCAAGTTCAAAAACACCACAAACTCAAGTTAAAACACGACACAAACTCAAGTTCAACAAAATCACAAACTTTAGTTCAACCAATACCCAATTCTCAAGTTTAACAATTTAAACAACCTCAAGTTAAAAAACACCACAAACTCAAGTTCAAAATCACCATAAACTCAAGTTCAAACACGACACAAACTCAAGTTCAAGAAACACACAATCTCAAGTTCAACCAACACCTGATTCTAAGGTTTAACAATTTCCACAACTTCAAGTTAAAAAAAAACAGAAACTCAAGTTCAAAAACACACAAACTCAAGTTCACCAAATACCCAAATTCAAGTTCAAAAACACCACAAACTCAATTCAAAAACAACACAAACTCAAGTTCAAAAACACAAAAAACTCAAGTTCAACCAATACCCAATTCTCAAGTTTAGCAATTTCCACAACCTCAAGTTAAAAAAAAACAGAAACTCAAGTTCAAAAACACCAAAAACTAATGTACAAACACAACACAAAGTCAAGTTCAACAAATGCCACAAAGTCAAGTTCAAAAACGAAACAAAGTCAAGTTAAAAAACACCACAAACTCAAGTTAAAAAAAAACACAAACTCAAGTTCAACAAACACACAAACTCAAGTTCAAAAACACACAAACACAAGTTCAAAAACACCAAAAACTCAAGTTCAAAGACAATACAAACTCAAGTTCACCAAACACGCAACTCAAGTTCAACCAAAACCTGATTCTCAAGTTTAACCTTTTCCAAAACCTCAAGTTCAAAAACAACAGAAACTCAAGTTCAATAATCACACAATCTCAAGTTCACCAAACACGAAACAAACTCAAGTTCAAAATACACACAAACTCAAGTTCAAACACAACACAAACTCAAGTTCAACAAACACACAAACTATAGTTCAAAAACACACAAACTCAAGTTCAAACACGACACAAACTCAAGTTCAACACACACAAACTCAAGTTCAACCAACACCCAATTCTCAAGTTTAACAATTTCCACAACCTCAAGTTCAAAAACAACAAAAACTCAAGTTCAAAGACAATACAAACTCAATTCAACAAACACAAACTCAAGTTCAACCAAACCTGATTCTCAAGTTTTACCATTTCCACAACTCAAGTTCAAAAACAACAGAAACTCAAGTTCAAAAAACACACAAACTCAAGTTCAACCAACACCTGATTCTCAAGTTTAAAAATTTTCACAAACTCAAGTTCAACAAATGCCACAAACTCAAGTCCAAACACGAAACAAACTCAAGTTCAAAAACACCACAAACTCAAGTTCAAACACGACACAAACTCAAGTCTACCAAAAACCACAAACTCAAGTTCAACCAACACCTGATTCTCAAGTTTAAAAATTTCCACAAACTCAAGTTCAACAAACAACACGAACTCAAATTCAAAAAACACACAAACTCAAGTTCAACCAACATCCAAATCTCAAGCTTGAAAATTGCCACAACCTCAAGTTCAACAAACACACAAACTTAAGTTCAAACACACCACAAACTCATGGTCAAACACACTACAAACTCAAGTTCAAACATGACACAAACTCAAGTTCAACAAACACCACAAACTCAAGTTCAACAAACGCCACAAACTCAAGTTCAAACATGAAACAAACACAAGTTCAAAAACACCACAAACTCAAGTTCAAACACAACACAAAAAGTTAAACAACAACTCAATTAAAACACAAAACTCAAGTTCAAACACGACACAACTCGTTACAAAACACAAATCAAGTTCAACCAAACCATCTCAAGTTTAAAACAACACAATAAGTTAAAAACACAAACTCAAGTTCAAAACACAAAACCAAGTTCAAAAACCAACTCAAGTTCAACAAAACACAAACAAGTTCAAAAACCAAACTCAAAACTCTCAAGTTAAAAAACAACAAACTCAAGTTAACAAACAACATTAACTAAAGTTCAAACACGACACAAACTAAAGTTCAACGATCACCCAAATCTCAAGTTTAACAATTGCCACAACCTCAAGTTCAAAAAACACACAAACTCAAGTTCAAACACACGACAAACTCAAGTTTAAACACGACACAAACTCAAGTTCAAAAACAAAAAAACTCAAGTTCAAACAATACTCAATTCTCAAGTTAAACAATTTCCACAACCTCAAGTTCAAAAATATCATAAACTCAAGTTCAAAAACACCACACACTCAAGCTCAAAAACAACACAAACTCAAGTTCAAACACAACACAAACTCAAGTTCAACAAACACACAAACTCAAGTTCAAAAACACCACAAACTCAAGTTCAAACGACACGAACTCAAGTTCAACAAACACAATAACTCAAGTTTAACAAATTCCCAAATCTCAAGTTTAAAAATTGCAACAACCTTAAGTTCAACAAAACACACAAACTCAAGTTCAAACACACCACAAACTCAAGTTCAAAAACACCACAAACTCAAGTTCAAACATGACAAGAACTCAAGTTCAAACACGAAACAAACTTAAGTTCAAAAACACCACAAACCCAAGGTCAAACACAACACAAACTCAAGTTCAACCAACACACAAACTCAAATTCAAAAACATCACAAACTCAAGTTAAAACACGACACAAACTCAAGTTCAACAAAATCACAAACTCAAGTTCAACCAATACCCAATTCTCAAGTTTAACAATTTCAACAACCTCAAGTTCAAAAACACCACAAACTCAAGTTCAAACACGACACGAACTCAAGTTCAAACACAAAACAAACTCAAGTTAAAAAACACCACAAACTCAAGTTCAAAATCACCACAAACTCAAGTTCAAACACGACACAAACTCAAGTTCAAGAAACACACAATCTCAAGTTCAACCAACACCTGATTCTAAGGTTTAACAATTTCCACAACTTCAAGTTAAAAAAAACAGAAACTCAAGTTCAAAAAACACACAAACTCAAGTTCACCAAATACCCAAATTCAAGTTCAAAAACACCACAAACTCAATTCAAAAACAACACAAACTCAAGTTCAAAAACACCAAAAACTAAAGTACAAACACAACACAAAGTCAAGTTCAACAAATGCCACAAACTCAAGTTCAAAAACGAAACAAAGTCAAGTTCAAAAACACCACAAACTCAAGTTAAAAAAAAACACAAACTCAAGTTCAACAAACACACAAACTCAAGTTCAAAAACACACAAACACAAGTTCAAAAACACCAAAAACTCAGGTTCAAATACAATACAAACTCAAGTTCACCAAACACGCAACTCAAGTTCAACCAAAACCTGATTCTCAAATTTAACCTTTTCCACAACCTCAAGTTCAAAAACAACAGAAACTCAAGTTCAATAATCACACAATCTCAAGTTCACCAAACACGACACAAACTCAAGTTCAAACACGAGACAAACTCAAGTTCAAACACAACACAAACTCAAGTTCAACAAACACACAAACTCAAGATCAAAAACGACAAAAACTCCAGTTCAAACACGGCACAAACTCAAGTTCAACAAACACGCAACTCAAGTTCAACCAACACCTGATTCTCAAGTTTAACCATTTCCACAACCTCAAGTTCAAAAACAACAGAAACTCAAGTTCAAAAAACACATAAACTCAAGTTCAACCAACACCTGATTCTCAAGTTTAAAAATTTTCACAAACTCAAGTTCAACAAATGCCACAAACTCAAGTTCAAACACGAAACAAACTCAAGTTCAAAAACACCACAAACTCAAGTTCAAACACGACACAAACTCAGGTCTACCAAAAACCACAAACTCAAGTTAAACCAACACCTGATTCTCAAGTTTAAAAATTTCCACAAACTCAAGTTCAACAAACAACACGAACTCAAATTCAAAAAACACACAAACTCAAGTTCAACCAACATCCAAATCTCAAGCTTGAAAATTGCCACAACCTCAAGTTCAACAAACACACAAACTTAAGTTCAAACACACCACAAACTCATGGTCAAACACACTACAAACTCAAGTTCAAACATGACACAAACTCAAGTTCAACAAACACCACAAACTCAAGTTCAACAAACGCCACAAACTCAAGTTCAAACATGAAACAAACACAAGTTCAAAAACACTAAAAACTCAAGTTCAAACACAACACGAACTCAAGTTCAACAAACACACTAACTCAAGTTCAACCAATACCCAAATCTCAAGTTTAAAAAATGTCAAAACCTCAAGTTAAAAAAACAGACAAACTCAAGTTAAACAAACAACATTAACTAAAGTTCAAACACGACACAAACTAAAGTTCAACGATCACCCAAATCTCAAGTTTAACAATTGCCACAACCTCAAGTTCAAAAAACACACAAACTCAAGTTCAAACACACGACAAACTCAAGTTTAAACACGACACAAACTCAAGCTCAAAAACAAAAAAACTCAAGTTCAAACAATACTCAATTCTCAAGTTAAACAATTTCCACAACCTCAAGTTCAAAAATATCATAAACTCAAGTTCAAAAACACCACACACTCAAGCTCAAAAACACCACAAACTCAAGTTCAAACACGACACGAACTCAAGTTCAACAAACACAATAACTCAAGTTTAACAAATTCCCAAATCTCAAGTTTAAAAATTGCAACAACCTTAAGTTCAACAAAACACACAAACTCAAGTTCAAACACACCACAAACACAAGTTCAAAAACACCACAAACTCAAGTTCAAACATGACAAGAACTCAAGTTCAAACACGAAACAAACTTAAGTTCAAAAACACCACAAACTCAAGGTCAAACACAACACAAACTCAAGTCCAACAAACACACAAACTCAAGTTCAAAAACACACAAACACAAGTTCAAAAACACCACAAACTCAAGTTCAAACATGACAAGAACTCAAGTTCAAACACGAAACAAACTTAAGTTCAAAAACACCACAAACTCAAGGTCAAACACAACACAAACTCAAGTTCAACCAACACACAAACTATAGTTCAAAAACGACACAAACTCAAGTTAAAACACGACCCAAACTCAAGTTCAACAAAATCACAAACTCAAGTTCAACCAGTACCCAATTCTCAAGTTTAACAATTTCAACAACCTCAAGTTCAAAAACACCACAAACTCAAGTTCAAACACGACACGAACTCAAGTTCAAACACAAAACAAACTTAAGTTAAAAAACACCACAAACTCAAGTTCAAAATCACCATAAACTCAAGTTCAAACACGACACAAACTCAAGTTCAAGAAACACACAATCTCAAGTTCAACCAACACCTGATTCTAAGGTTTAACAATTTCCACAACTTCAAGTTAAAAAAAAACAGAAACTCAAGTTCAAAAAACACACAAACTCAAGTTCACCAAATACCCAAATTCAAGTTCAAAAACACCACAAACTCAATTCAAAAACAACACAAACTCAAGTTCAAAAACACAAAAAACTCAAGTTCAACCAATACCCAATTCTCAAGTTTAGCAATTTCCACAACCTCAAGTTAAAAAAAACCAGAAACTCAAGTTCAAAAACACCAAAAACTAAAGTACAAACACAACACAAAGTCAAGTTCAACAAATGCCACAAAGTCAAGTTCAAAAACGAAACAAAGTCAAGTTAAAAAACACCACAAACTCAAGTTAAAAAAAAACACAAACTCAAGTTCAACAAACACACAAACTCAAGTTCAAAAACACACAAACACAAGTTCAAAAACACCAAAAACTCAAGTTCAAAGACAATACAAACTCAAGTTCACCAAACACGCAACTCAAGTTCAACCAAAACCTGATTCTCAAGTTTAACCTTTTCCAAAACCTCAAGTTCAAAAACAACAGAAACTCAAGTTCAATAATCACACAATCTCAAGTTCACCAAACACGAAACAAACTCAAGTTCAAAATACACACAAACTCAAGTTCAAACACAACACAAACTCAAGTTCAACAAACACACAAACTATAGTTCAAAAACGACACAAACTCAAGTTCAAACACGACACAAACTCAAGTTCAACAAACACACAAACTCAAGTTCAACCAACACCTGATTCTCAAGTTTAACAATTTCCACAACCTCAAGTTCAAAAACAACAAAAACTCAAGTTCAAAGACAATACAAACTCAAATTCACCAAACACGCAACTCAAGTTCAACCAACACCTGATTCTCAAGTTTTACCATTTCCACAACCTCAAGTTCAAAAACAACAGAAACTCAAGTTCAAAAAACACACAAACTCAAGTTCAACCAACACCTGATTCTCAAGTTTAAAAATTTTCACAAACTCAAGTTCAACAAATGCCACAAACTCAAGTTCAAACACGAAACAAACTCAAGTTCAAAAACACCACAAACTCAAGTTCAAACACGACACAAACTCAAGTTCAAGAAACACACAATCTCAAGTTCAACCAACACCTGATTCTAAGGTTTAACAATTTCCACAACTTCAAGTTAAAAAAAAACAGAAACTCAAGTTCAAAAAACACACAAACTCAAGTTCACCAAATACCCAAATTCAAGTTCAAAAACACCACAAACTCAATTCAAAAACAACACAAACTCAAGTTCAAAAACACAAAAAACTCAAGTTCAACCAATACCCAATTCTCAAGTTTAGCAATTTCCACAACCTCAAGTTAAAAAAAACCAGAAACTCAAGTTCAAAAACACCAAAAACTAAAGTACAAACACAACACAAAGTCAAGTTCAACAAATGCCACAAAGTCAAGTTCAAAAACGAAACAAAGTCAAGTTAAAAAACACCACAAACTCAAGTTAAAAAAAAACACAAACTCAAGTTCAACAAACACACAAACTCAAGTTCAAAAACACACAAACACAAGTTCAAAAACACCAAAAACTCAAGTTCAAAGACAATACAAACTCAAGTTCACCAAACACGCAACTCAAGTTCAACCAAAACCTGATTCTCAAGTTTAACCTTTTCCAAAACCTCAAGTTCAAAAACAACAGAAACTCAAGTTCAATAATCACACAATCTCAAGTTCACCAAACACGAAACAAACTCAAGTTCAAAATACACACAAACTCAAGTTCAAACACAACACAAACTCAAGTTCAACAAACACACAAACTATAGTTCAAAAACGACACAAACTCAAGTTCAAACACGACACAAACTCAAGTTCAACAAACACACAAACTCAAGTTCAACCAACACCTGATTCTCAAGTTTAACAATTTCCACAACCTCAAGTTCAAAAACAACAAAAACTCAAGTTCAAAGACAATACAAACTCAAATTCACCAAACACGCAACTCAAGTTCAACCAACACCTGATTCTCAAGTTTTACCATTTCCACAACCTCAAGTTCAAAAACAACAGAAACTCAAGTTCAAAAAACACACAAACTCAAGTTCAACCAACACCTGATTCTCAAGTTTAAAAATTTTCACAAACTCAAGTTCAACAAATGCCACAAACTCAAGTTCAAACACGAAACAAACTCAAGTTCAAAAACACCACAAACTCAAGTTCAAACACGACACAAACTCTGGTCTACCAAAAACCACAAACTCAAGTTCAACCAACACCTGATTCTCAAGTTTAAAAATTTTCACAAACTCAAGTTCAACAAACAACACGAACTCAAATTCAAAAAACACACAAACTCAAGTTCAACCAACATCCAAATCTCAAGCTTGAAAATTGCCACAACCTCAAGTTCAACAAACACACAAACTTAAGTTCAAACACACCACAAACTCATGGTCAAACACACTACAAACTCAAGTTCAAACATGACACAAACTCAAGTTCAACAAACACCACAAACTCAAGTTCAACAAACGCCACAAACTCAAGTTCAAACATGAAACAAACACAAGTTCAAAAACACCACAAACTCACGTTCAAACACAACACAAATTAAAGTTAAAAAAACACACAGACTCAAGTTCAAAAACACTAAAAACTCAAGTTCAAACACGACACGAACTCAAGTTCAACAAACACACTAACTCAAGTTCAACCAATACCCAAATCTCAAGTTTAAAAAATTTCAAAACCTCAAGTTAAAAAAACAGACAAACTCAAGTTAAACAAACAACATTAACTAAAGTTCAAACACGACACAAACTAAAGTTCAACGATCACCCAAATCTCAAGCTTAACAATTGCCACAACCTCAAGTTCAAAAAACACACAAACTCAAGTTCAAACACACGACAAACTCAAGTTTAAACACGACACAAACTCAAGTTCAAAAACAAAAAAACTCAAGTTCAAACAATACTCAATTCTCAGGTTAAACAATTTCCACAACCTCAAGTTCAAAAATATCATAAACTCAAGTTCAAAAACACCACACACTCAAGCTCAAAAACAACACAAACTCAAGTTCAAACACAACACAAACTCAAGTTCAACAAACACACAAACTCAAGTTCAAAAACACCACAAACTCAAGTTCAAACACGACACGATCTCAAGTTCAACAAACACAATAACTCAAGTTTAACAAATTCCCAAATCTCAAGTTTAAAAATTGCAACAACCTTAAGTTCAACAAAACACACAAACTCAAGTTCAAACACACCACAAACTCAAGTTCAAAAACACCACAAACTCAAGTTCAAACATGACAAGAACTCAAGTTCAAACACGAAACAAACTTAAGTTCAAAAACACCACAAACTCAAGGTCAAACACAACACAAACTCAAGTTCAACCAACACACAAACTCAAATTCAAAAACATCACAAACTCAAGTTAAAACACGACACAAACTCAAGTTCAACAAAATCACAAACTCAAGTTCAACCAATACCCAATTCTAAAGTTTAACAATTTCAACAACCTCAAGTTCAAAAACACCACAAACTCAAGTTCAAACACGACACAAACTCAAGTTCAAACACAAAACCAACTTAAGTTAAAAAACACCACAAACTCAAGTTCAAAATCACCATAAACTCAAGTTCAAACACGACACAAACTCAAGTTCAAGAAACACACAATCTCAAGTTCAACCAACACCTGATTCTAAGGTTTAACAATTTCCACAACTTCAAGTTAAAAAAAAACAGAAACTCAAGTTCAAAAAACAAAAACTCAAGTTCACCAAATACCCAAATTCAAGTTCAAAAACACCACAAACTCAATTAAAAAACAACACAAACTCAAGTTCAAAAACACAAAAAACTCAAGTTCAACCAATACCCAATTCTCAAGTTTAGCAATTTCCACAACCTCAAGTTAAAAAAAAACAGAAACTCAAGTTCAAAAACACCAAAAACTAAAGTACAAACACAACACAAAGTCAAGTTCAACAAATGCCACAAACTCAAGTTCAAAAACGAAACAAGGTCAAGTTCAAAAACACCACAAACTCAAGTTAAAAAAAAACACAAACTCAAGTTCAACAAACACACAAACTCAAGTTCAAAAACACACAAACACAAGTTCAAAAACACCAAAAACTCAAGTTCAAAGACAATACAAACTCAAGTTCACCAAACACGCAACTCAAGTTCAACCAAAACCTGATTCTCAAATTTAACCTTTTCCACAACCTCAAGTTCAAAAACAACAGAAACTCAAGTTCAATAATCACACAATCTCAAGTTCACCAAACACGACACAAACTCAAGTTCAAACACGAGACAAACTCAAGTTCAAACACAACACAAACTCAAGTTCAACAAACACACAAACTCAAGATCAAAAACGACACAAACTCCAGTTCAAACACGGCACAAACTCAAGTTCAACAAACACGCAACTCAAGTTCAACCAACACCTGATTCTCAAGTTTAACCATTTCCACAACCTCAAGTTCAAAAACAACAGAAACTCAAGTTCAAACACGAGACAAACTCAAGTTCAACAAACACACATACTCAAGTTCAAACACGACACAAACTCAAGTTCAACAAACACACAAACTCAAGTTTAACAATTCCCACAACCTCAAGTTCAAAAAATTACACACCCTCAAGTTCAAAAACACCACAAACTCAAGTTCAAACACGCCACAAACTCAAGTTTAAATATGAAAAAAAACTCAAGTTCAAAAATACCACAAATTCAAGTTCAAACACAACACAAACTCAAGTTCAAAAAACATACAAACTCAAGTTCAAAAAACACAGAAAGTCAAGTTCAAAAACTCCACAAACTCAAGTTAAAAAACACACAAACTCAAGTACAACCAACACACAAATCTCAAGTTTTACAATTGCCACAACCTCAAGTTCAACAAACACACGAACTCAAGTTCAAATACACCACAAACTCAAGTTCAAACACGACACAAACTCAAGTTCAACCAACACCTGATTCTCAAGTTTATAAATTTTCACAACCTCAATTTCAAAAAACACACAAACTCAAGTTCAACAAACAACACGAACTCAAGTTCAAACACGACACAAACTCAAGTTGAACCAACACTCAAATCTCAAATTTAACAAATGCCACAACCTAAAATTCATCAAACAAATCAACTCAAGTATAAACACACAACAAACTCAAGTTCAAACATGACACAAACTCAAGTTCAAAAACTCAAGTACAGCCAATACCCAATTCTCAAGTTTGACAATTTCCACAACCTCAAGTTCAAAAGCAACACAGACTCAAGTTCAAAAACACCACAAACTCAAGTTCAAACACGACACATGCTCAAGTTCAACAAACCCCACAAACTCAAATTCAACAACTGCCACCAAGTAAAGTTCACTAAAAACAATAAACTCAAGTTCAACAATTGACAGAAAACTTAAGTTCAAAAAACACACAAACTCTAGTTCAAAAACACCACAAACTCAAGTTCAAACATGACAAAGTCAAGTTCAACCAACACTCAAATCTCAAATTAAAATATATCCAAAACCGCAAGTTCAAAAACAACAGAAACTCAAGTTCAAACACGCCACAAACTCAAGTTCAACAAATGTAAAAGTTTTAAGTTCAACCAAAACCCAAATCTCAAGTTTAACAATTTCCACAACCTCAAGTTCAAAAACAACCGAAACTCAAGTTCAAACACGAGACAAACTCAAGTTCAACAAACACACAATCCTCAAGTTCAAAAACACCACAAACTCAAGTTCTTAACAACACAAACTCAAGTTCAAAAAACACACAAGCTCAAGTTCAAAAACACCCCAAACTGAAGTTCAAACATGAAACAAAGTCAAGTTCAACCAAATCCCAAATCTCAAGTTCAACAATTTCCACAACCTCAAGTTCAAAAACAACAGAAACTCAAGTTAAAACACACCACAAACTCAAGTTCAACAAAGACACAAACTCAAGTTCAAAAACACCACAAACCCAAGTTCAACCAACACCCAAATCTCAAGTTTAACAATTGCCACAAACCTAAGTTCAAAAACACCACAAACTCAAGTTCAAACATGACAAAAACTCAAGTTCAAAAAACACACAAACTCAAGTTCAACAAACAACAAGAACTCAAGATCAAACACGACACAAACTCAAGTTCAACCAACACCCAAATCTCAAGTTTAACAATTGCCACAACCTCAAGTTCAAAAACAACAGAAACTCAAGTTCAAACACACAAACTCAAGTTCAAACATGACACAAACTCAAGTTCAAAAACTCAAGTTCAGCCAATACCCAATTCTCAAGTTTAACAATTTCCACAACCTCAAGTTCAAAAGCAACACAGACTCAAGTTCAAAAACACCACAAACTCAAGTTCAAACACGAAACAAACTCAAGTTCAACAAACCCCTCAAACTCAAGTTCAATCACGACACATGCTCAAGTTCAACAAACCCCACAAACTCAAGTTCAACAGATGTAAAAGTTTTAAGTTCAACCAAAACCCAAATCTCAAGTTTAACAATTTCAACAACCTCAAGTTCAAAAACAACAGAAACTCAAGTTCAAACACGCCACAAACTCAAGTTCAACAAACACACAATCCTCAAGTTCAACAATTGCCACAACCTAAAGTTCAAAAACACCCCCAACTCAAGTTCAAACAAGACACAAACTCAATTACAACAAACGCCACAAACTCAAGTACAACAAACGCTACAAACTAAAGTTCAGTGAAAAATACAGACTCAAGTTCAACAATTGCCACAAACTCAAGTTCAACAAATGACCTAAACTCACATTTAACAATTGCCAAAAACTCAAGTTCAACAAACTCAAGTTCAAAAATTGCCACAAACTCAAGTTCAAAAACACACAAACTCAAGTTAAAAAAATGCTGAAACTGAATTCAACGAACACCACAAACTCAAGATCAACAAATTCCAAAGTTTGAAGTTCAACCAACACCCAAATATCAAGTTTAACAATTGCCACAACCTCAAGTTCAACAAACACACAAACTCAATTTCAAAAACACCACAAACTCAAGTTCTTAACAACACAAACTCAAGTTCAAAAAACACACAAGTTCAAGTTCAAAAACACCCCAAACTCAAGTTCAAACATGAAACAAAGTCAAGTTCAACCAAATCCCAAATCTCAAGTTCAACAATTTCCACAACTTCAAGTTCAAAAACAACAGAAACTCAAGTTAAAACACGCCACAAACTCAAGTTCAACAAAGACACAAACTCAAGTTCAAAAACACCACAAACCCAAGTTCAACCAACACCCAAATCTCAAGTTTAACAATTGCCACAAAACTAAGGTAAAAAACCACACAAACTTAAGTTCAAAAACACCACAAACTCAAGTTCAAACATGACACAAACTCAAGTTCAACCAACACCCAAATCTCAAGTTCAACAATTGCCACAACCTCAAGTTCAAAAACAACAGAAACTCAAGTTAAAACACGCCACAAACTCAAGTTCAACAAAGACACAAACTCATGTTCAAAAACACCACAAACCCAAGTTCAACCAACACCCAAATCTCAAGTTTAACAATTGCCACAAAACTAAGTTAAAAAACCACACATACTCAAGTTCAAAAACACCACAAACTCAAGTTCAAACATGACACAAACTCAAGTTCAACCAACACCCAAATCTCAAGTTCAACAATTGCCACAACCTCAAGTTCAAAAACAACAGAAACTCAAGTTAAAACACGCCACAAACTCAAGTTCAACAAAGACACAAACTCATGTTCAAAAACACCACAAACCCAAGTTCAACCAACACCCAAATCTCAAGTTTAACAATTGCCACAAAACTAAGTTAAAAAACCACACATACTCAAGTTCAAAAACACCACAAACTCAAGTTCAAACATGACACAAACTCAAGTTCAACCATGTAGCGATTTCAAATTCAAAATAAATGTCGAGAATTAATCAAATTAAATAATGACATTTATGCACTCGTTGAAGGGGCACCACCCACCTTTCTGGTGGGAAAAGGATGAAACAAAGTTCAATTGAGTAATTAAACGTTGGATCAGTCTTAAACAGATTTAAATCAGTCTCTCATCTGAGGCCGGAATTCTTCATTCAGGGACTACTTTCTGAAAGACCACTAAGACGACAACTTAAAATTAAATGGACAATTTATTAACAAGCTATATGATAACAAAACGTCAATAAATGATGAGCAAATAATGAGCAAATCAAAGCACATCTAATGAATAAACGAAGGAATGGTTTAAATTAAACCTAAGACTGGAGGTTAATAATATTGAGTGAATAAAGGGGAAATTTAACCTACGTTAACGGAGTTACGAGGGTAAATTGAAAGGAATTTGGAGAACTAAACTCTAACTTATGAGAGTAAGCTACTGAACGGTTGACGGCATCACCCAATTCTCATCACAGCAGTTTCGAGGATTTAGCCTACTTTGGACGTCAGTTCTCAGCGGCACCCTTGGAATGGATCAGCTGAAGTTCTGTGGCTACCGGACCGGATACTGAAGGTTCGGCGGGGAGTTCTTCCGCCGTGTCTGGATCTCAGCTTCAGGACCGTGTCAGCGCCGTTAGATACTTCAGATCTCTGGGCCTCTCGGAACCAGGTGGCAAAGCAGCTTGGCAGATGATGCTGGTCGGCGTTCAGGAGTAGCTTGGTTGCAGATTAATTCGCGCCAATAACTTAAGAAAATAATTTCGTTGGCCAGCCGATATTATCTTCAGGAGTCACTTTAGCGAACAAAAATAAAAAGACTTAGACTGAGGTTCTCTTATGCGCGCAGCTTGTTACTGAGGCTTTAAAGGGACTTGGGAATGTTTCACCCAAGTTTAGAAGAAAAATCTGAGCTTAAGGCAATTAATAAAACGCGGGGAAAATTGCGAACAATAGACGAAGAGAAAAACGAAGAAGAAACGAAACAAGAGAGAACTAAACACAGACGAGACAAAAACGGAAGAGAAAAACTGAAGAAAGAGCAAAGACTCCCGGGCTCTTTTTAAACCATCCCGTGTGGGCGTGAGCCAAGAGGAAAGTTACAGCCAATGCTGTAACCCGATGCAGCACATCGACTGGCAGCGAATTTAACTCAACTTGATATTAAAAGCGAGCTAGATCTGATTTACTCACTCACTATGATTAAACTGTTTGTAACATCACATACGATCACATTTCACTTCATTGTTTCTTATGAGCAGACGCATTAAAGCATGACATTGAAACAGTAAACTTTGATCAGCCGTCTTCTTGACACTAACAGAGGATTAACGACTTTTAAAAGTTAGAGAGGGACAGAAAACAAATTATCTATTTGAACAGAAACACCATCCAGCATAAGAAACACATACGTGATAATATTTGACAACACTATAACCTTTGTCAATCAAGCTTCCTAGATGATTAATATATATTTGTGTGAGGTAGACAAAACATAGTATGGATACATTCAGAAACTCTTAACTTGAGTCTAAACGAGTTTCACGTTACTACTTCTAAACTACTAGCCTATCTTGGGAATACCATTTACTAAGCTACGAAGTGTATAACAAAAGGAAAGAAATACACGTGATTAGATTCCTGCCATTTGGCTCTGATCAAACCATATTCAGGCATCACCACTAGGAGGAGCTCTTGATCCATGGAAAACCTGGAATAAATTTGTGAAGTTAACAGTTTGGCTTGTGGATATGCTACAAAATTGGGAAAAAGACCATTTCATTAAGAATGTGGTGTGCAGACAGAAAATTCTGGTGACATGTCCATTAAACATGAAGTTAAACAATTTTCAGGCATCCTCTTCCTTCTGCTCAGTAAAGAAAGCCATGGAGATTTTATGGCAGGTATCTGGTTTTTCAGACTTGGCGCCAAATGCTTTGTTTTCCTTTTAGGTCAATGGTTAATCCTGAAGTGTCAATTCTGATCTTTCCCAGCCAGGGAGAAAGGCTCCGTGTTTATGGGTCTGTGTGGTTGATAAGCAACTTGTCCTTTTGGGAAGCATTAAAGATTCACTATCACCTCCCCAATGGCTTGGGTCGTAAATGGGAACTTGGTGTGCAAACCGTTACTCCCCCATTTCCTGTCCAAACCAGGGGAGCCTGCATTCCTTTGAGGGGTGAATTCAAGGTGGATAGCAGAAAGCAGTTGTCTCATTACAACCAACACCCAAATCTCAAGTTTAACAATTGCCACAACCTCAAGTTCAAAAACAACAGAAACTCAAGTTCAAACACGAGACAAACTGAAGTTCAACAAACACACAAACTCAAGTTCAATCAATACCCAATTCTCAAGTTTAACAATTTCCACAACCTCAAGTTCAACAAACTCAAGTTCAAAAATTGCAAAAAAATCAAGTTCAAATACGACACAAACTCAAGTTCAACCAACACCCAAATCTCAAGTTTAACATTTGCCAAAACCTCAAGTTCAAAAACAACACAAACTCAAGTTCAAACACGCCTAAAACTCAAGTTCAACAAACACACAAACTCAAGTTCAAAAACACCACAAATTCAAGTTCAAACATGTCACAAACTCAAGTTCAACAAACACAGAAACTCAAGTCAACCAATACCCAAATATGAAGCTTAGCGTTAAGGGGTGTTCAGACCAAACGCTACTTCGGTGACGTCGGCAATGGCTCCCAATGCAAAGTCTATGGACAGCCGCGACCTGACGCGACTTGGCGACCGCTGGCTACCTGCGTCGCGTTGCCGAGGTCGCAGGACGCCAAGTCTCATCGCTCCCAAAGTTCAAATATTTGAACTGGGCTGCGGGATGTATATATGAGGGAGAAAAGGAGGGAGATGGAAGGTAGGAGAAGCAGGTCAGCAGCGACCAGCCGTGTCCTGCGACCGCAGCTTTGGACCCGGTGTGAACACACCAGAGCACCACGCGACGCGACCTGGTCGCGGCTGCAATTACACCTAATCCGCGGAGCCAAATCCTTGCAGGTACTGACATTAGTCTTGCTGTGCTCAGACTACAATGATAGACGCATTGTGGATTGCGGAGATGAGCCTGTGATGCTTAAATATCGTGATGCCCGGCTGTTTAAATCTCCGACCTTGGCTGAATTCATAGCTTTCAGCGTATTTGTAGATGTCATATGTAAATTGTTTTCAGCACGCAGAACTGAACTGGACACATATCTCGCCATTATTTCTGATTCAGCCATGACATAGGGAGGATCATTATTCTAGGAACATTACAAATCATTTTCAGCAAAGCTGCTAAGTACATTCAAAGATTCAGCCAAAGACTTGATCAGTCCGTAGTCGACCTGGCTCTAATCAGTTAACAATTCACCGAGCATCAAGCTTTTTCCTGCTTAATCTGCGGGTCTTTCTCTCACCTGGAGGTGAAAGTAAGCCATTACGCAGCAGTACGCCATTTCGGGAAGTCATAATCAGCTGTTTAAAGTTTTCACCCCTGTCATGTATCTAGGCTTAGTCTGTTGCTGCACATCAGTCTGCACTCTGCGTTATAACCGAAGTAATCCAATAGGACCATGCCGCTTGAGAGTGAGTGGTATTTGCTTACAAATAAACTCCAAATGGGAGCACCAGTGTGCACTTTTGATTGGACGCTGGTTGCCTAGGTGCAGGGGCCCGCCTTCCGCCTTTTGCGGAAGGAGGGAACTTTTAAAGAGTTAGCTGCTTCAATCTTAATGCAGAAATAAGACAAAATGCAGAGGAAAATAATAATAATAATAATAATAATAATAATAATAATAATAATAATAATAATAATTTTATGTTTAAGAGAGAGATACAGCAGATGATGATACTGTGGCATCGGAGTCAGCAACTCGCTTAACTTGGGTGTGCTCCTCTTGTACAAAGTCTACGGGTACAGTACCTGGAGGAACCTTATCCTACCTTGTCCACCCCTGCCCACACCTCTAATCGGTGCCCTAAAACTGTGGCTACAGGCCAACCACCCAAGCCTCTCTAAGCCTACTACTCGGAGAAGCCAAGTTACTCCAGGGACGGGCATCTGAAATCAGCATGCCCATGACGCACCCACCTGGTAAAACGGGAAAGAACAAAGCTGTCTACTCTGTCAAATGTCCTTGAGCCGGGGAAGGCACTGGCAAAGCATCCCAACGGCTGTTCGTGAAGCCATTCATTCAGACTGTGTTAGTCTGAGTGCAGCCTTGCAATCCTTAGTGCTCTCTGTGGACAGCTACTTGAGAGCTGGTTAAGCAAAATCAGCATTAAAGTTTATACGATTCTGCATGGTCTCACTTTACCTCTTTTGTACCACCTTCTCTGTAGCCCCAACGCCCTAAATATATCCATTGTATGTGCTTTAATAGTCCACAGTTTTGAATCTCGCACTTTTTTTTTTTCTAATATTTCCAAAACTAACTCTGTCTTTGTTCTTTATCCTCCATGTCCCGCTGCCTGAGAGGCCGGCCACTGGCCAGCCAGCAAGAGTCTCTCTTTGCCACTGAAGAAGGGAAACCTATATCCAGATTGCAGCTTTCTGCTCACCTCTGCCTGCTCTGCCAATCCTGTTGGCTCCTACCTGAGTACAACTCTACGCATTCACCACGCATAGGCACAGCTACAACTGCATCTTCCATCGTCCCCGTCTCGACGCTCAAGGCTACGGGTCAATGGTCCCGATCAGCCTTTGAATGATACCTCAGGCCCAAGGCTAATATTATTATTATTATTAGAATATTCCTATGCTCGATTAGCTACAAAAAAAAAAAAATTGCTGCTGCTCCTTAATTCTTTCCCATATCTATTGCATTACGCATATTCCCAACTATAAATTTGTGTATGGATTAAATTAATCCTGATCCATGATCATGTTGTGAGGGTAACCAATACTATGCAAGCTTTGTAGGTGGGTAGGTTGCTTCATAGTTTCTCGCTGCTGGCTGCCCTCCCTCCCCCGTAGGTGCCTTCATGTAGCTCATGAAAGCTGGGGAGGGTTGCCAGTATGGCTGCTGCTTTTTCTGCCTTGGCTTTTCATATATGCACATGAAAGGGAGGGGAGGGCATTCCCTCTCATTGCCTTGGGATTCTATGCAAGCGCATGAGAGAGCAGGGAACTCTCAGAACAGAGCCATACCGACAATGTTAAAACATTTTTTGCTAGTAATAAATAATTGATTCTAACTAAAGTAGTCCTGACTGAAATTAAGCATGACTGTAGTTCAGGCAGGACACAAGGTACAGTCAAGCTAAAGGTTAAAGCCAGCTGATCTTAAGCTAGCCCTCAGTCAGATGACAGCTTAGCTGATCGCCCTCCACACATCCTTCAGATCGCTACACGGCTCATTCCTTTCACATAGGTGCAGCTACAACCGCAGCTATGACGGCTCCTGTGTCGACCCTCAAAGCCATGGGCCAATAGTCGTCAGCTGCGTACAAACGCTATCTGCGCCCCGAGGCTCGGGACATTCTCGAAGCCCAAAAACTATGAGTACCCATAACTTTGGCACATAGATGCTAATTAAATGTAATATATAAACAACCTGCAGATAAATATCCATGCTTGGGCAACGGGTCTCTCTAACCCGTCTTTCTTTCAGCAGCGCTCACCTCCCCTGCTAGCTCCTAGACTGCACGGCATGGTTGTTTTGGGGGGGTTCTGTTCATTGCTGCTCTACCCCTGCCTCCTCCGCCTTCATGATGGCACGTGGAGGGCGGGAAGATGCTCTTCCTGCCGCTGGCCTTTCACCCCTGCCAACGTGGAGAACGGGGGCCCTGAACAGAACCTCGCGTGCGCTCCCTGCTATCGCCTTTCATGATGGCTCGTGAAAGGCAGGAAGGGGCTCTTCCTGCCTTGGGCTTCCACACAAGCGCGTGGAAGGGCAGGGACCCGGAACAGAATCATGCCGCCAAATCTAACTTGCACAATAAAGCTAAAAATTTGGACAAAGTGTACCTGACTGAAATGAAGCATAGCGTTAGTTCTGTCAGGACACAACGTCAAGCGCTGATCCACAGCCAATGGCTAGTAGCCACCTCAACCAGATGATAATCAGCTGATTCACACCTAGATCCTATTGGTTCTTTGCCTATAGAGTGCCTTATTTAAAACTGCACTAGCCCAGCCTCTTCCTCTGCTCTGACAGCAAACCAGCAACACACTGCCACACCAGCTCCACCCTCGTGCCAGCTAATTGCTCCGCTGTCCTTAAAGCGCTCCTGTTCCAGGGGGGGTTTGTTCATTGCTGCTCTACCCCCGCCACCTCCGCCTTCATGATGGCTCAAGGAGGGCGAGTTTAACAATTTTCACAACCTCAAGTTCAAAAAGAACACAAACTCAAGTTCAAACACGCCACGAACTCAAGTTCAACAAACAAACAAACTCAAACTCAAGTTCAAAAACACCACAAACTCAAGTTCAACCAACACCCAATTCTCAAGTTCAACAATTTCCACCAACTCAAGTTCAAAAACACCACCAACTCAAGATCAAAAACACCACAAAGTCAAGTTCAAACAAGACACAAACTGAAGTTAAATGAACACCACATACATAAGTTCAACAAATGTCAAAGTTTTAAGTTCAACCAACACCCAAATCTAAAGTTTAACAATTGCTGAAGCCTCAAGTAAGAAAAACAACAAAAATTCAGGTTAAAACACGCCACAAAGTCAAGCTCAACACCGCCACAAACTCAAGTTAAAAAGCACCACAAACCAAAGTTCAATCACGACACAAACTCAAGTTCAACCAAATCCCAAATCTCAAGTTTGACAATTGCCACAACCTCAAGTTCAAAAACAACAGAAACTCAAGTCAAAACACGCCACAAACTCAAGTTAAACAAACACACAAACTCAAGTTCAAAAACACCACAAACTCAAGTTCAACCAACACCCAAATCTCAAGTTTAACAATTGCCACAAACTTAACTTCAAAAAACACACAAAAATTCAAACTAAAGTTCAGGGAAAAATACAGACTCAAGTTCAACAATTGCCACAAACTCAAGTTCAACAAACACCACAATCTTAAGTTCAAAAAATGCCAAAATTTCAAATTCAAAAACACCACAAACTCAAGTTAAATGAACACCACAAAGTCAAGTTCAACAAATGTCAAAGTTCAACCAACACCCAAATCTAAAGATTAACAATTGCCAAAACCTCAAGTTAAAAAACAACACAAACTCAAGTTCAAACACGCGACAAACTCAAGTTTAACAATTGCCACCAAATAAAGTTCACTAAAAACCAAAGACTCAAGTTCAAAACTCAAGTTCAAAAATTGCAACAAACTCAAGTTCAAACACAACACTCAAGTTCAAACATGACACAAACTCAAGTTCAAACACGACACAAACTCAAGTTCAAACAACACCCAAATATCAAGTTTAACATTTGCCAAAACCTCAAGTTCAAAAACACCACAAACTCAAGTTCTAAACGACAAAAACTCAAGTTCAACAAACACACAAACTCAAGTTCAACAATTGCCACCAACTAATGTTCAGAGAAAAATACAGACTCAATGTTAACAATTGCCACAAACTCAAGTTCAACAAAGACCACAAGCTTAAGTTCAAAAAATGCCAAAATTTCAAATTCAACAAATAACCTATATTAACATTAAAGAATTGCCAAAAACTCAAGTTCAACGAACTCAGGTTCAAAAAACACACAAATTCAAGTTCAAAAACACCACAAACTCAAGTTCAAAAATGCCGAAACTTAATTTCAACCAACACACAAATCTCAAGTTTAACAAATTGCCACAACCTCATGTTCAAAAACAACAGAAACTCAAATTCAAAAACACCACCAACTCAAGTTCAAAAACACCACAAAGTCAAGTTCAAACAAGACACAAACTGAAGTTCAATGAACACCACATACATAAGTTCAACAAATGTCAAAGTTTTAAGTTCAACCAACACCCAAATCTAAAGTTTAACAATTGCTGAAGCCTCAAGTAAGAAAAACAACAAAAATTCAGGTTAAAACACGCCACAAAGTCAAGCTCAACACCGCCACAAACTCAAGTTAAAAAGCACCACAAACCAAAGTTCAAACACGACACAAACTCAAGTTCAACCAAATCCCAAATCTCAAGTTTGACAATTGCCACAACCTCAAGTTCAAAAACAACAGAAACTCAAGTCAAAACACGCCACAAACTCAAGTTAAACAAACACACAAACTCAAGTTCAAAAACACCACAAACTCAAGTTCAACCAACACCCAAATCTCAAGTTTAACAATTGCCACAAACTTAACTTCAAAAAACACACAAAAATTCAAACTAAAGTTCAGGGAAAAATACAGACTCAAGTTCAACAATTGCCACAAACTCAAGTTCAACAAACACCACAATCTTAAGTTCAAAAAATGCCAAAATTTCAAATTCAACAAATGACCTAAACTCACATTTAACAATTGCCAAAAACTCAAGTTCAACAAACTCAAGTTCAAAAATTGCAACAACCTCAAGTTCAAAAAACACACAAATTCAAGTTCAAAAACACCACAAACTCAAGTTAAAAAAAATCACAAAAATTCAAGTTCAAAAACACCACAAACTCAAGTTAAATGAACACCACAAAGTCAAGTTCAACAAATGTCAAAGTTTTAAGTTCAACCAACGCCCAAATCTAAAGATTAACAATTGCCAAAACCTCAAGTTAAAAAACAACACAAACTCAAGTTCAAAAATTGCAACAAACTCAAGTTCAAACACAACACTCAAGTTCAAACATGACACAAACTCAAGTTCAAACACGACACAAACTCAAGTTCAAACAACACCCAAATATCAAGTTTAACATTTGCCAAAACCTCAAGTTCAAAAACACCACAAACTCAAGTTCAACCAACACCTAAGTCACAAGTTTAACAATTGCCACAAACTTCAGTTCAAAAAACACAAAAGCTCAAGATCAAAAACACCACAAACTCAAGTTCAAACACGATTCACAAACTCAGGTACAGCCAATACCCAATTCTCAAGTTTGACAATTTCCACAACCTCAAGTTCAAAACCAACAGAAACTCAAGTTCAAACACGCCACAAACTCAAGTACAACAAACACCACAAACTCAAGTTCACTAAAAACCAAAGACTCAAGTTCAACAATTGCCAAAAAATCAAGCGAAACAAACTCAAGTTCATAAGTTGTCACAAACTTGAAACACGACACAAACTCAAGTTCAAAAACAAAACTAACTATTTAGAGTAATTTTGAGGTGTTTGAGAGGTTTTTTGTAGACTTACCCTAGTGGTCCTATGTTGTTGTTGATGTGAGGCGTTTCTTTTCCAGTAGTCTAAAATCTGTTCAACAATTGCCACCAAGTAAAGTTCAGAGAAAAATACAGACTCAAGGTTAACAATTGCGGCAAACTCAAGTTCATCAAACACCACAAGCCTAAGTTCAAAAAATGACCAAATTTCAAATTCAACAAATGACCTATATTCACATTAAACAATTGCCAAAAACTCAAATTCAACAAACTCAAGTTAAAAAAGTGCCACAAAATGAAGTTCAAAAACACCACAAACTCAAATTCAAAAAACACACAAACTCAAGTTCAAAAACACCACAAACTCAATTTCAAACACGATACAAACTCAAGTTCAACAAACACCACAAACTCAAGTTCAACAAATGTCACAGTTTCAAGTTCAACCAACACCCGATTCTCAGGTTTAACAATTTCCACAACCTCAAGTTCAAAAAACAACACAAACTCAAGTTCAAACACGCCACAAACTCAAGTTCAACAAACGCCACAAACTCAACTTCAAAAACACCACACAAACTGAAGTTCTAAAACGACACAAACTCAAGTTCAACAAACACAACAAGTCAAGTTCAAGCAACACCCGATTCTCAAGTTTAACAATTTCCACAACCTCAAGTTCAAAAAACACACAAACTCAAGTTCAAAAACACCAGAACCTCAAGTTCAAAAAACATAATAAACTGAAGTTCAAATATTCCACAAACTCAAGTTCAATGAACACCACAAACTCAAGTTCAACCAACACCTGATTCTCAAGTTTAACAATTGCCACAACCTCAAGTTAAAAAAAACACAAACTCAAGTTCAAACACTTCACAAACTCAAGTTCAACAAACGCCACAAACTCAAGTTCAACAAACGCCACAAACTCAAGTTCAACAAACGCCACAAACTCAAGTTCACTAAAAACCAAAGACTCAAGTTCAACAATTGCCAAAAAATCAAGCGAAACAAACTCAAGTTCATAAGTTGTCACAAACTTCAAACACGACACAAACTCAAGTTCAAAAACAAAACTAACTATTTAGAGTAATTTTGAGGTGTTTGAGAGGTTTTTTGTAGACTTACCCTAGTGGTCCTATGTTGTTGTTGATGTGAGGCGTTTCTTTTCCAGTAGTCTAAAATCTGTTGGAGGGGGGAAAAGGTTCCAGCTGTCCAGCCGCGGCGGCAGCGGTGTGTCTGAAGTCCGGGGTCCTCGGCGGGGGAAAGAAGATAGGCGCTCCGCGGCAAGGTTTGCTGGGACTCGGTGCCGTCGGCGGGTCGAAGCTTGGTGGTGGGCGGCTTGGAGTGATGGAGGCGCGGCGTCTTCCTCGAGGCGGTGGTCGGTCTTCTTGGTCCAGCGGTCAGTGCTTTGTCTCAATTACAGCAACAGGAATTGCTCTTTAGTGCACAGCACTTATATGTGCTTTTGACAGGAGAAGCATCCCCAGAGTTGGGCTCGAGTCATGGTTTGTGCTGTTCCTCTCAGACATGGTTGTGTTCTCTTCTCGATGTTTGTATTCCAGAATGGATGTCTCTTGGTTGTATTTTAAACTTTCAAGTTGTTTTAAGTTAATTTTAATGTAGTTTATTTGTTTTAAATTTAGTTTTGCTACATTAAATTTGTATGCAATCGTAAGGGATTGTGGGTATTTTAGTTCTGAGGGATGAGAGCCTAAGGAATCAATCTTCCTGTTACAGCAAAGGATTGTGGGTAAAACCGTGAGTGAGTGAGGTACTTCCTTTCTGCCATGAGAGCCTTGGGAATCAATCTCCCTGTCCAGCAAAGGATTGTGGGTAAAACCGTGAGTGAGGGAGGTACATTTTTCCTGGCATGAGAACCTCAGGAGTCAGTCCTTCCTAAGAAAAAAGAGGGGAGGGGGGAAGACAAACAAAAGCACAGGAACCCTAAAATGAAATAAAATAAAATAAAATAAAATAATATAAAACAATGAAAAAAAATAAAAAATAAAAGAAGAACAAAAGTGGATTGCAAAAGGGAAAGGAGAAGAAAAAAGGAAAAAAAGAAGTGTCAAGAGCAAATAGCAAAAAACAGAAGTGAGCTTAAAAACAGAGAACAGTTCCCTAAAAGACAGACAGAAATGTAAATTTGATCAATGTCCTAAGGGAAAATCTGCACGTGTATGTGTGTTCTTTTTTACTAGCTTAGTCTGGTGTCACTGATGGTCAGTTATCAATAAGTATTTATTATTTAAATTTTTGATGAAGTTGTTTGTAGTGGGGTTAGCTGGCTAATTTTAGAGTGTTAAAAAAGATGTTAGAGGGGGAGGATTTAGGTGGCACGGCGGTTCCCCTTCAGGTCTCTCTTAATCCTCAATATAGGTGACCCAACAGGGGTTACCCCCCGGCCGGTGTAGGCCGAGGCTGAAGATCACCTATTTGTCCTCTGTGAAGGTGAAAATAAATGGGCAGGGGAGGGAATAAGAAAGAGGGGGGGTGTTAGAGAGAGGGGGAGAGATGAGGGAGAGAGATGAGGGAGAGAGAGAGAGAGAGAGAGAGAGAGAGAGAGGGAAGAGGGAGAGGGGGGTTTAAGGGAGAGGTGGAGATGGTGGAAAATAAAGATTGGTGAGGGGGATTTGGTGGCGGATGAAACATCCCATAGCTCCCCAGCTCTCACCATCCATGTGAGGAGAGTGAGCAAGGGACATAGTCACCCGACCCGACTAGGTCTAGGCTCTGCTCTCCTCACGGTCCTCACAAGATACAAAGAGATATGTAAACGTGGAAGTGAGAGTTCTCTAGGCAGAGTTTTGGGTTTGGTTTGAGCTGAGTTGGTCAGTTGATTATTGATTACTATTTTAAGTTCTAAAAGTGGATTGAGTCAAAAAGTCACAGAGGATTGTGGTGGGAGCAGGTGGTCCATCTGGCACCATTCTGCTCATGCAGGGATTCGAGTGATAGAAAGAGAATAGATCTTGCAACCGTGACTCGCCATTGAGATTCTCCTCACCTGCTGGTTTTCATCCTCTGATAGGAGAGAGAGGTACAGATCAGGAGAGAGGGAGAAAAGGAGGGAGGCAGGGTGGGGTCAGGAGTTAATTTGTCTTGAAAAGTATTTATCTTTTCGTCATTGCTGTTAGGGTTTAGATGTTTTTTGTTTAGTTTTCTGAGGAATGTAGTGTTAGTATAGGTTCCAAGGTGGAGGATTCTTTGGAATTCACTCTCACCCTTGAAACTGGAAGAGGAGCATGTTTCAGACCTTTTGGAGTTGGTTACACCAAAAAAAATGTAAAATGAAAAAAAAATTTTTTTGGGTGTTCGGGCTTCCTGAAGGTAATACTAGGTTTCTGGGCTTGGGTAAGGTTTAAGGTTTTGGGCGTTAGGGTTAAAATCACTGTCCAAAACCTTTGTAGGAACTCTTTTCCAACCTTTTGGAGTTAGTTAGACAAAAAAAAAAAGATGAATGAAAAAAAAATATTTGGGGTGTTCGGGCTTCCTGAAGGTAATACCCAGGTATTAGGTTTTGGGGCTAGGGTTAGGTTTAAGGTTTTTGGCGTTAGGTTTAAAATAACTGTCCAATATTTTTTAAGGAACATGTTTCAGACCTTTGGGAGTTAGTTAGACAAAAAAAAAGAAAAAGAAAAAAAAATATTTGGGGTGTTCGGGTTTCCTGAAGGTAATACCCGGGTATTAGGTTATGGGGCTAGGGTAAGGTTTAAGGTTTTTGGCGTTAGAGTTAAAATCAGTGTCCAAAACCTTTTTAGGAACATGTTTAAGACCTTTTGGAGTTGGTTACACCAAAAAAAATGTAAAATGAAAAAAAAAAATATTTGGGGTGTTCGGGCTTCCTGAAGATAATACCCGGGTATTAGGTTATGGTGCTAGGGTAAGGTTTAAGGTTTTTGGCGTGAGGGTTAAAATCACTGTCCAAAACCTTTGTAGGACCTCTTTTCCAACCTTTTGATGTAAGTTAGACAAAAAAAAACGAATTTTGAAAATCAAATATTTGGGGTTTTTGGGCTTCCTGAAGGTAATACCCGGGTATTAGGTTATGGGGCTTTGGAAAGGTTTAAGGTTTTTGGCGTTAGGGTTAAAATCACTGTCCAATATTTTTTAAGGAACATGTTTCAGACCTTTTGGAGTTAGTTAGACCAAAAAAAAAGAAAAGAAAAAAAAATATTTGGGGTTTTCGGGCTTCCTGAAGGTATTAGGTTTTGGGGCTAGGGTAAGGTTTAAGGTTTTTGGCGTTAGGGTTAAAATCACTGTCCAAAACCTTTTAAGGAACAAGATTCAGACCTTTTGGAGTTGGTTACACCAAAAAAAAATGTAAAATGAAAAAAAAAAATTTGGGGTGTTCGGGCTTCCTGAAGGTAATACCCGGGTATTAGGTTATGGGGCTAGGGTAAGGTTTAAGGTTTTTGGCGTAAGGGTTAAAATCACTGTCCAAAACCTTTTTAGGAACATGTTTCAGACCTTTTGGAGTTGGTTACACCAAAAAAAATTGTAAAATGAAAAAAAAATTTTGGGGGGTGTTCGGGCTTCCTGAAGGTAATACTAGGTTTCTGGGCTAGGGTAATGTTTAAGGTTTTTGGCGTTAGGGTTAAAATCAATGTCCAAAACCTTTGTAGGAACTCTTTTCCAACCTTTGAGAGCAAGTTAGACCAAAAAAAAAAGAAAAATAAAAAATATATATTTGGGGTGTTCGGGCTTCCTGAAGGTAATACCCGGGTATTGGGTTTTGGGGCTAGGGTTAGGTTTAAGGTTTTTGGTGTTAGGATTAAAATCAATGTCCAAAACCTTTGTAGGAACTCTTTTCCAACCTTTGAGAGCAAGTTAGACCAAAAAAAAAAGAAAAAGAAAAAATATATATTTGGGGTGTTCGGGCTTCCTGAAGGTAATACCCGGGTATTAGGTTTTGGGGCTAGGGTTAGGTTTAAGGTTTTTGGCGGTAGGGTTAAAATAACTGTCCAATATTTTTTAAGGAACATGTTTCAGACCTTTGGGAGTTAGTTAGACAAAAAAAAAAAGAAAAAGAAAAAAAAAATATTTGGGGTGTTCGGGTTTCCTGAAGGTAATACCCGGGTATTAGGTTATGGGGCTAGGGTAAGGTTTAAGGTTTTTGGCGTTAGAGTTAAAATCAGTGTCCAAAACCTTTTTAGGAACATGTTTAAGACCTTTTGGAGTTGGTTACACCCAAAAAAATGTAAAATGAAAAAAAAAAAAAAAATTGGGTTTTTTGGGCTTCCTGAAGGTAATACCCGTATATTAGGTTATGGTGCTAGGGTAAGGTTTAAGGTTTTTGGCCTGAGGGTTAAAATCACTGTCCAAAACCTTTGTAGGACCTCTTTTCCAACCTTTTGGTGTAAGTTAGACCAAAAAAAAACGAAAATTGACAAACAAATATTTGGGGTTTTTGGGCTTCCTGAAGGTAATACCCGGGTATTAGGTTATGGGGCTTTGGAAAGGTTTAAGGTTTTTGGCGTGAGGGTTAAAATCACTGTCCAAAACCTTTGTAGGAAGTCTTTTCCAACCTTTTGGAGTTAGTTAGACCAATAAAAAAATGAAAAATGAAAAAAAAAAATTTGGGGTGTTCGGGCTTCCTGAAGGTAATACCCGGGTATTAGGTTTTGGGGCTAGGATTAGGTTTAAGGTTTTTGGTGTTAGGGTTAAAATCACTGTCCAATATTTTTTAAGGAACATGTTTCAGACCTTTTGGAGTTAGTTAGACCAAAAAAAAAGAAAAGAAAAAAAAATATTTGGGGTTTTCGGGCTTCCTGAAGGTATTAGGTTTTGGGGCTAGGGTAAGGTTTAAGGTTTTTGGCGTTAGGGTTAAAATCACTGTCCAAAACCTTTTAAGGAACAAGATTCAGACCTTTTGGAGTTGGTTACACCAAAAAAAATGTAAAATGAAAAAAAAAATATTTGGGGTGTTCGGGCTTCCTGAAGGTAATACCCTTCAGGTTTAAGTATTAGGTTTTGGGGCTAGGGTAAGGTTTAAGGTTTTTGGCGTAAGGGTTAAAATCACTGTCCAAAACCTTTGTAGGAACTCTTTTCCAACCTTTTGGAGTTAGTTAGACCAAAAAAAAGGAAAAAAGAAAAAAATATATTTGGGGTGTTCGGGCTTCCTGAAGGAAATACCCAGGTATTAGGTTATGGGGCTAGGGTAAGGTTTAAGGTTTTTGGCGTTAGGGTTGAAATCACTGTCCAAAACCTTTTAAGGAACACGTTTCAGACCTTTTGGAGTTGGTTACACCAAAAAAAAATGTAAAATGAAAAAAAATATATTTGGGGTCTTCGGGCTTCCTGAAGGAAATACCCAGGTATTAGGTTATGGGGCTATAGTAAGGTTAAAGGTTTTTGGCGTTAGGGTTAAAATCACTGTCCAAAACCTTTGTAGGAACTATTTTCCAACCTTTTGGAGTTAGTTAGACCAAAAAAAAAACGAAAAATGAAAAAAAATATTTGGGGTTTTTGGGCTTCCTGAAGGTAATACCCGGGTATTAGGTTTTGGGGCTAGGGTAAGGTTTAAGGTTTTTGGCGTTAGAGTTAAAATCAGTGTCCAAAACCTTTTTAGGAACATGTTTAAGACCTTTTGGAGTTGGTTACACCAAAAAAAAGGAAAAAAGAAAAAAAAATATTTGGGGTGTTCAAGTTTCCTGAAGGTAATACCCGGGTTTTAGGTTTTGGGGCTAGGGTAAGGTTTAAGGTTTTTGGTGGTAGGGTTAAAATCACTGTCCAAAACCTTTGTAGGAACTCTTTTCCAACCTTTTGGAGTTAGTTAGACCAAAAAAAAGGAAAAAAAAAAAAAAATATATTTGGGGTGTTCGGGATTCCTGAAGGAAATACCCAGGTATTAGGTTATGGGGCTAGGGTAAGGTTTAAGGTTTTTGGCGTTAGGGTTGAAATCACTGTCCAAAACCTTTTAAGGAACACGTTTCAGACCTTTTGGAGTTAGTTAGACAAAAAAAAAGAAGATAAATGAAAAAAAAATATTTGGGGTCTTCGGGCTTGCTGAAGGTAATACCCGGGTATTAGGTTATGGGGCTAGGGTAAGGTTTAAGGTTTTTGGCGTTAGGGTTGAAATCACTGTCCAAAACCTTTTAAGGAACACGTTTCAGACCTTTTGGAGTTGGTTACACCAAAAAAAATGTAAAATGAAAAAAAATATATTTGGGGTCTTCGGGCTTCCTGAAGGAAATACCCAGGTATTAGGTTATGGGGCTATAGTAAGGTTAAAGGTTTTTGGCGTTAGGGTTAAAATCACTGTCCAAAACCTTTGTAGGAACTATTTTCCAACCTTTTGGAGTTAGTTAGACCAAAAAAAAACGAAAAATGAAAAAAAATATTTGGGGTTTTTGGGCTTCCTGAAGGTAATACCCGGGTATTAGGTTTTGGGGCTAGGGTAAGGTTTAAGGTTTTTGGCGTTAGAGTTAAAATCAGTGTCCAAAACCTTTTTAGGAACACGTTTCAGACCTTTTGGAGTTGGTTACACCAAAAAAAAGGAAAAAAGAAAAAAAAATATTTGGGGTGTTCAAGTTTCCTGAAGGTAATACCCGGGTTTTAGGTTTTGGGGCTAGGGTAAGGTTTAAGGTTTTTGGTGGTAGGGTTAAAATCACTGTCCAAAACCTTTGTAGGAACTCTTTTCCAACCTTTTGGAGTTAGTTAGACCAAAAAAAAGGAAAAAAGAAAAAAATATATTTGGGGTGTTCGGGATTCCTGAAGGAAATTCCCAGGTATTAGGTTATGGGGCTAGGGTAAGGTTTAAGGTTTTTGGCGTTAGGGTTGAAATCACTGTCCAAAACCTTTTAAGGAACACGTTTCAGACCTTTTGGAGTTAGTTAGACAAAAAAAAAGAAGATAAATGAAAAAAAAATATTTGGGGTCTTCGGGCTTCCTGAAGGTAATACCCGGGTATTAGGTTATGGGGCTAGGGTAAGGTTTAAGGTTTTTGGCGTAAGGGTTAAAATCACTGTCCAAAACCTTTTTAGGAACATGTTTCAGACCTTTTGGAGTTGGTTACACCAAAAAAAATGTAAAATGAAAAAAAAAATATTTGGGGTGTTCGGGCTTCCTGAAGGTAATACCCTTCAGGTTTAAGTATTAGGTTATGCGGCTAGGATTAGGTTTAAGTTTTTTGGCGTAAGGGTTAAAATCACTGTCCAAAACCTTTTAAGGAACAAGATTCAGACCTTTTGGAGTTGGTTACACCAAAAAAAATGTAAAATGAAAAAAAAATATTTGGGGTGTTCAAGTTTCCTGAAGGTAATACCCGGGTATTAGGTTTTGGGGCTAGGGTAAGGTTTAAGGTTTTTGGTGGTAGGGTTAAAATCACTGTCCAAAACCTTTGTAGGAACTCTTTTCCAACCTTTTGGAGTTAGTTAGACCAAAAAAAAGGAAAAAAGAAAAAAATATATTTGGGGTGTTCGGGCTTCCTGAAGGAAATACCCAGGTATTAGGTTATGGGGCTAGGGTAAGGTTTAAGGTTTTTGGCGTTAGGGTTGAAATCACTGTCCAAAACCTTTTAAGGAACACGTTTCAGACCTTTTGGAGTTGGTTACACCAAAAAAAAATGTAAAATGAAAAAAAATATATTTGGGGTCTTCGGGCTTCCTGAAGGAAATACCCAGGTATTAGGTTATGGGGCTATAGTAAGGTTAAAGGTTTTTGGCGTTAGGGTTAAAATCACTGTCCAAAACCTTTGTAGGAACTATTTTCCAACCTTTTGGAGTTAGTTAGACCAAAAAAAAAACGAAAAATGAAAAAAAATATTTGGGGTTTTTGGGCTTCCTGAAGGTAATACCCGGGTATTAGGTTTTGGGGCTAGGGTAAGGTTTAAGGTTTTTGGCGTTAGAGTTAAAATCAGTGTCCAAAACCTTTTTAGGAACATGTTTAAGACCTTTTGGAGTTGGTTACACCAAAAAAAAGGAAAAAAGAAAAAAAAATATTTGGGGTTTTCAAGTTTCCTGAAGGTAATACCCGGGTTTTAGGTTTTGGGGCTAGGGTAAGGTTTAAGGTTTTTGGTGGTAGGGTTAAAATCACTGTCCAAAACCTTTGTAGGAACTCTTTTCCAACCTTTTGGAGTTAGTTAGACCAAAAAAAAGGAAAAAAGAAAAAAATATATTTGGGGTGTTCGGGATTCCTGAAGGAAATACCCAGGTATTAGGTTATGGGGCTAGGGTAAGGTTTAAGGTTTTTGGCGTTAGGGTTGAAATCACTGTCCAAAACCTTTTAAGGAACACGTTTCAGACCTTTTGGAGTTAGTTAGACAAAAAAAAAGAAGATAAATGAAAAAAAAATATTTGGGGTCTTCGGGCTTGCTGAAGGTAATACCCGGGTATTAGGTTATGGGGCTAGGGTAAGGTTTAAGGTTTTTGGCGTTAGGGTTGAAATCACTGTCCAAAACCTTTTAAGGAACACGTTTCAGACCTTTTGGAGTTGGTTACACCAAAAAAAAATGTAAAATGAAAAAAAATATATTTGGGGTCTTCGGGCTTCCTGAAGGAAATACCCAGGTATTAGGTTATGGGGCTATAGTAAGGTTAAAGGTTTTTGGCGTTAGGGTTAAAATCACTGTCCAAAACCTTTGTAGGAACTATTTTCCAACCTTTTGGAGTTAGTTAGACCAAAAAAAAAACGAAAAATGAAAAAAAATATTTGGGGTTTTTGGGCTTCCTGAAGGTAATACCCGGGTATTAGGTTTTGGGGCTAGGGTAAGGTTTAAGGTTTTTGGCGTTAGAGTTAAAATCAGTGTCCAAAACCTTTTTAGGAACACGTTTCAGACCTTTTGGAGTTGGTTACACCAAAAAAAAGGAAAAAAGAAAAAAAAATATTTGGGGTGTTCAAGTTTCCTGAAGGTAATACCCGGGTTTTAGGTTTTGGGGCTAGGGTAAGGTTTAAGGTTTTTGGTGGTAGGGTTAAAATCACTGTCCAAAACCTTTGTAGGAACTCTTTTCCAACCTTTTGGAGTTAGTTAGACCAAAAAAAAGGAAAAAAGAAAAAAATATATTTGGGGTGTTCGGGATTCCTGAAGGAAATTCCCAGGTATTAGGTTATGGGGCTAGGGTAAGGTTTAAGGTTTTTGGCGTTAGGGTTGAAATCACTGTCCAAAACCTTTTAAGGAACACGTTTCAGACCTTTTGGAGTTAGTTAGACAAAAAAAAAGAAGATAAATGAAAAAAAAATATTTGGGGTCTTCGGGCTTCCTGAAGGTAATACCCGGGTATTAGGTTATGGGGCTAGGGTAAGGTTTGAGGTTTTTGGCGTTAGGGTTAAAATCACTGTCCAAAACCTTTTTAGGAACATGTTTCAGACCTTTTGGAGTTGGTTACACCAAAAAAAATGTAAAATGAAAAAAAAAATATTTGGGGTTTTCGGGCTTCCTGAAGGTAATACCCGGGTATTAGGTTATGGGGCTAGGGTAAGGTTTAAGGTTTTTGGCGTAAGGGTTAAAATCACTGTCCAAAACCTTTTAAGGAACATGTTTCAGACCTTTTGGAGTTGGTTACACCAAAAAAAATGTAAAATGAAAAAAAAATATTTGGGGTGTTCAAGTTTCCTGAAGGTAATACCCGGGTTTTAGGTTTTGGGGCTAGGGTAAGGTTTAAGGTTTTTGGTGGTAGGGTTAAAATCACTGTCCAAAACCTTTGTAGGAACTCTTTTCCAACCTTTTGGAGTTAGTTAGACCAAAAAAAAGGAAAAAAGAAAAAAATATATTTGGGGTGTTCGGGCTTCCTGAAGGTAATACCCGGGTATTAGGTTTTGGGGCTAGGGTAAGGTTTAAGGTTTTTGGCGTTAGGGTTAAAATCACTGTCCAAAACCTTTTTAGGAACATGTTTCAGACCTTTTGGAGTTGGTTACACCAAAAAAAAGAAAAAATGAAAAAAAAATATTTGGGGTTTCAAGCTTCCTGAAGGTAATACCCGGGTATTAGGTTTTGGGGCTAGGGTAAGGTTTAAGGTTTTTGGCGTTAGGGTTAAAATCACTGTCCAAAACCTTTGTAGGAACTCTTTTCCAACCTTTTGGAGTTAGTTAGACCAAAAAAAAGGAAAAAAGAAAAAAATATATTTGGGGTGTTCGGGCTTCCTGAAGGTAATACCCAGGTATTAGGTTATGGGGCTAGGGTAAGGTTTAAGGTTTTTGGCGTTAGGGTTAAAATCACTGTCCAAAACCTTTTTAGGAACATGTTTCAGACCTTTTGGAGTTAGTTAGACCAAAAAAAAGAAGAAAATGAAAAAAAAATATTTGGGGTGTTCGGGCTTCCTGAAGGTAATACCCGGGTATTAGGTTATGGGGCTAGGGTAAGGTTTAAGGTTTTTGGCGTTAGGGTTAAAATCACTGTCCAAAACCTTTTAGGAACTCGTTTCAGACCTTTTGGAGTTAGTTAGACCAAAAAAAAATGTAAAAAGAAAAAAAAATATTTGGGGTGTTCGGGCTTCCTGAAGGAAATACCCAGGTATTAGGTTATGGGGCTAGGGTAAGGTTTAAGGTTTTTGGCGTTAGGGTTAAAATCACTGTCCAAAACCTTTGTAGGAACTATTTTCCAACCTTTTGGAGTTAGTTAGACCAAAAAAAAAAGAAAATGAAAAAAAAATATTTGGGGTTTTGGGCTTCCTGAAGGTAATACCCGGGTATTAGGTTTGGGGCTAGGGTAAGGTTTAAGGTTTTTGGCGTTAGGGTTAAAATCACTGTCCAAAACCTTTTTAGGAACATGTTTCAGACCTTTTGGAGTTGGTTACACCAAAAAAAAATGTAAAAAAAAAAAAAATATTTGGGGTGTTCGGGCTTCCTGAAGGTAATACCCGGGTATTAGGTTATGGGGCTAGGGTAAGGTTTAAGGTTTTTGGCGTAGGGTTAAAATCACTGTCCAAAACCTTTGTAGGAACTCTTTTCCAACCTTTTGGAGTTAGTTAGACCAAAAAAAAGAAAAAGAAAAAAAATATTTGGGGTGTTCGGGCTTCCTGAAGGTAATACCCCAGGTATTAGGTTATGGGGCTAGGGTAAGGTTTAAGGTTTTTGGCGTTAGGGTTGAAATCACTGTCCAAAACCTTTTAAGGAACACGTTTCAGACCTTTTGGAGTTAGTTAGACAAAAAAAAAGAAGATAAATGAAAAAAAAATATTTGGGGTCTTCGGGCTTCCTGAAGGTAATACCCGGGTATTAGGTTATGGGGCTAGGGTAAGGTTTAAGGTTTTTGGCGTTAGGGTTAAAATCACTGTCCAAAACCTTTTTAGGAACATGTTTCAGACCTTTTGGAGTTGGTTACACCAAAAAAAATGTAAAATGAAAAAAAATATTTGGGGTGTTCGGGCTTCCTGAAGGTAATACCCGGGTATTAGGTTTTGGGGCTAGGGTAAGGTTTAAGGTTTTTGGTGTTAGGGTTAAAATCAATGTCCAAAACCTTTGTAGGAACTCTTTTCCAACCTTTTGGAGTTAGTTAGACAAAAAAAAAGATAAATGAAAAAAAAATATTTGGGGTGTTCGGGCTTCCTGAAGGTAATACCCAGGTATTAGGTTATGGGGCTAGGGTAAGGTTTAAGGTTTTTGGCGTAAGGGTTAAAATCACTGTCCAAAACCTTTTTAGGAACATGTTTCAGACCTTTTGGAGTTGGTTACACCAAAAAAAAATGTAAAATGAAAAAAAATTTTTTTGGGTGTTTGGGCTTCCTGAAGGTAATACTAGGTTAATGGGCTAGGGTAATGTTTAAGGTTTTTGGCGTTAGGGTTAAAATCACTGTCCAAAACCTTTTTAAGGAACATGTTTCAGACCTTTGGGAGTTAGTTAGAAAAAAAAAAAGAAAAAGAAAAAAAAAATATTTGGGGTGTTCGGGTTTCCTGAAGGTAATACCCAGGTATTAGGTTATGGGGCTAGGGTAAGGTTTAAGGTTTTTGGCGTAAGGGTTAAAATCACTGTCCAAAACCTTTTAGGAACATGTTTCAGACCTTTTGGAGTTGGTTACACCAAAAAAAATGTAAAATGAAAAAAAATTTTTTTTGGGTGTTCGGGCTTCCTGAAGGTAATACTAGGTTTCTGGGCTAGGGTAATGTTTAAGGTTTTTGGCGTTAGGGTTAAAATCAGTGTCCAAAACCTTTGTAGGAACTCTTTTCCAACCTTTGAGAGCAAGTTAGACCAAAACAAAAATAAAAATAAAAATATATATTTGGGGTGTTCGGGCTTCCTGAAGGTAATACCCGGGTATTAGGTTATGGGGCTAGGGTAAGGTTTAAGGTTTTTGGCGTTAGGGTTAAAATCAGTGTCCAAAACCTTTTTAGGAACATGTTTCAGACCTTTTGGAGTTAGTTAGACCAAAAAAAAAAAAAAAAGAAAAAAATATATTTGGGGTCTTCGGGCTTCCTGAAGGAAATACCCAGGTATTAGGTTATGGGGCTAGGGTAAGGTTTAAGGTTTTTGGCGTTACGGTTAAAATCACTGTCCAAAACCTTTTTAGGAACATGTTTCAGACCTTTTGGAGTTGGTTACACCAAAAAAAAATGTAAAATGAAAAAAAAAATATTTGGGGTGTTCGGGCTTCCTGAAGGAAATACCCAGGTATTAGGTTATGGGGCTATAGTAAGGTTAAAGGTTTTTGGCGTTAGGGTTAAAATCACTGTCCAAAACCTTTGTAGGAACTATTTTCCAACCTTTTGGAGTTAGTTAGACCAAAAAAAAAAAGGAAAAAAGAAAAAAAAATATTTGGGGTTTTCAAGTTTCCTGAAGGTATTACCCGGGTATTAGGTTATGGGGCTAGGGTAAGGTTTAAGGTTTTTGGCGTTAGAGTTAAAATCAGTGTCCAAAACCTTTTTAGGAACATGTTTAAGACCTTTTGGAGTTGGTTACACCAAAAAAAATGTAAAATGAAAAAAAATTTTTTTTGGGTGTTCGGGCTTCCTGAAGGTAATACTAGGTTTCTGGGCTAGGGTAATGTTTAAGGTTTTTGGCGTTAGGGTTAAAATCAATGTCCAAAACCTTTGTAGGAACTCTTTTCCAACCTTTGAGAGCAAGTTAGACAAAAAAAAAAGATAAATGAAAAAAAAATATTTGGGGTGTTCGGGCTTCCTGAAGGTAATACCCGGGTATTAGGTTATGGGGCTAGGGTAAGGTTTAAGGTTTTTGGCGTAAGGGTTAAAATCACTGTCCAAAACCTTTTTAGGAACATGTTTCAGACCTTTTGGAGTTGGTTACACCAAAAAAAATGTAAAATGAAAAAAAATTTTTTTTGGGTGTTCGGGCTTCCTGAAGGTAATACTTTGTATTACCTTTGTAGGAAGTCTTTTCCAACCTTTTGGAGTTAGTCTTTTGTAGGAAGTCTTTTCCAACCTTTTGGAGTTAGTTAGACAAAAAAAAAAGATAATTGAAAAAAAAATATTTGGGGTGTTCGGGCTTCCTGAATGTAATACCCGGATATTAGGTTATGGGGCTAGGGTAAGGTTTAAGGTTTTTGGCGTAAGGGTTAAAATCACTGTCCAAAACCTTTTTAGGAACATGTTTCAGACCTTTTGGAGTTAGTTACACCAAAAAAAATGTAAAATGAAAAAAAAATTTTTTTGGGTGTTCGGGCTTCCTGAAGGTAATATTAGGTTTCTGGGCTAGGGTAATGTTTAAGGTTTTTGGCGTTAGGGTTAAAATCAATGTCCAAAACCTTTGTAGGAACTCTTTTCCAACCTTTGAGAGCAAGTTAGACCAAAAAAAAAATAAAAATAAAAAATATAGGCGGACAGTTTTGAGAAGGTATTTATGATTCCAAGCAAGCATGGCACAGATCTTCTGGGTTCGGAAACCAGTAATAAAATATCGTCCGCATATAACATCAACTTGTGGACCTTCCCGCCTATGGTGACCCCTGGGAAATCATTTGCTTTACGTATGGCTGCTGCTAGTGGCTCAATAGCTAAACAAAAAAGCAAAGGAGAGAGGGGTGACCCCTGTCTAGTTCCTCTGCCCAACATAAAGTAGTCTGATATGAGCCCATTAGTCTGAACTGCTGCTTCTGGATGTTTATATAACATACGAATCCATTTTATAAATGTAATACCAAATCCAAATTCTTCTAAGATTTTAAATAGAAACCCCCATTCTACCATGTCGAACGCTTTTTCGGCGTCCAACGAGATTGCAGCAACTGGGGACTGGGTGTCAGCCAGCGACCACATGACATCAATGAGGCGTCTTTTATCGGAGGAGCTACGACCACGAATGAATCCTACCTGATCACTATGGATCAATGATGTAATTATGCTGTCTAAACGGTTTGCTAAAATTTTAGAAATTATCTTAACATCGATTTGCATTAATGATATCGGACGATAGTTCTTACATTCCTTCCAATCTTTACCTTTCTTAGGAATTAGACTAATGAGGGCCTGTCTCAAAGTGGGTGGCAACACCCCTCTCCCCAGCGCCTCCCTATATACCTCCAGTAAAGGTGAAGCTAGTTCCGAGGCAAAGCACTTAAAGAATTCCCCCGTGAAGCCATCCGGCCCCGGTGCCTTGCCTGTTGGCAATGCCTTAATTACCCCTTTAATTTCCTCAATAGTAATATCTGAATCAAGAAAATCCCTCTGTTCATCCGTCAGTTTTGGGAGTCCTAACTGTTCTATAAAGCTATGAATTTCTTCTTCATCAGAGGTACAGTTTGAACTATATAAATTACTATAAAATTCCTTAAAAGCCTGATTAATGTCTACCGTTGCAGTAAGCAGGTCTCCAGACTGCAATCTAATAGCAGGAATAGTGGAAGCCAACTCCCTCTGTTTTATATAACTGGCAAGTAGCTTTCCTGCTTTATCTCCTGACTCGAAATAGGTTTGTCTTGCCCTGAATGAGTTAAATTCAATCTTATGGGTTATTAAGTTATTGTATTGATATTTTAGTTTTGTCAATTTTTTCATGCCATTTTGTGTTAATTGTTGCTTCAGCTCTGTTTCAACCTGTTTTATTTTATTTTCTAATTCTAGCAGCTCCCGTGTTTTATTTTTCTTATTGTATGATGTGTGTTGGATTATACGTCCTCTAACCACTGCCTTTAGGGCCTCCCATGCCACGCCAGCTGATGATACAGACTACCAGTTGATCTCTAAATAACTTTTAAGTTCGGTCCTCAACCATTCTGTATTTGCTGGGTCCTGTAAAAGTGACGAGTTTAGACGCCATCTATAAGACCTTCTTCTCTCATCTTGCGGTAACAAGTCCAAACTGACAGTAGCATGATCAGAGATCAAAATAGACCCTATTTCACATCTCACTGCACAGGGACTGAGCTCTTTGGATATTAGGAAAAAATCTATTCGGCTATAAATCTTATGTACTGATGAGTAAAAAGTATAATCCCTCCCTGACGGGTTCATGAGCCTCCAGATATCTATCAATCCTAAAGATTTGCAAATTGTTTGTAGTGTCAAAGCGGCTTTTGGCATTTTACGCAACATTGCCCCACTGTGATCAAGCACTGGGTCCATTAACAGATTAAAGTCTCCTCCAAGAACAACGGGCTGAGCCCCCAGTATTTGTAACTTCCCTTCAAGATCAGAGAAAAAAGATTGATCGTCCAGATTAGGAGCATATATATTGGCCAAAATTAGTTTCTGCGACTGTATTTCAGCCAGTACTATAATCATCCTACCTGTATTATCTCTTATTTGCTTCTGACACTTAAATTGTAGATGTTTACTTACTAAAATTATAACCCCTTTACTCTTGCTGGAGCCTACACTGTAAAAAACATGTCCAACCCATCCTACACAGAGCTTCTCAGATTCTTCTTTTGACATGTGAGTTTCTTGAAGAAACACCACATCATATTTTTTGGCCTTAAGGATGGCCATCACCTTTTTTCTCTTGACGGGATTCCCCAAACCATTAACATTCCAAGTGGAGAGACGCATTAAATTTAATTGTGAAGACATGTCTGCCTAATCATCGATAACACATGGCCGTTTATCAAAAGCAATATCCTTACAGTGGTGGTGACTGTACCCCGCCCCCTCCCCCAAGAAAAGAAAATAATAATAATAATAAATAACACAAATTTAGTGCAATTAAACCTGAACTTTGCACATTCTAACCCCCTCAAAAGTCCCTCTAACCGAGGTCTGACGGTCCGTGTCAGGTCCGCGGGGCTCCACTTGTCATGATCCCTCACTCACCGCTACCGCACAGGAAAATAAGGCAACACCAGTGTCCTCAGCAGACGTTTGGGCGCGCAGGATACCAATATGAACACCTCCATCCATCAATACTCACTGCAAAGCATCTATGAAGGCCATGGCTTTCCGTGGGCACTCAAAAGCTTTCTCACCGCTGCCGGTCTCAATTCTCAGCTTAGCTGGGAACAGCATCCTGAAACCAACCCCTCGGTCGTGCAGTTTTTTCTTGCAATCTTTGAATTTCTCACGCTTCATCTGGGTGGCCCTGGAGTAATCGGGGAAAAGCATGACAGTAGTATTCCCCCAGGTCAGCTTGCCTTTGTTCCTCGCTGCTCTCATCACCGCATCCCGGTCCGACGATCTCAAAAACCGGGCCAGTATTGGTCTGGGCCGGTCGCCTGGCGCTGGTCTCTGGCTCGGGACCCGGTGGGCCCGTTCAATCTCCCGTCTCCCCTTGATGTTTAGCAGACTCGGCAACAGCTCCTCCAGAAATCTCACCACATCTCCTGCCTCCTTACCCTCCGGAAAGCAGACGAAACGAACGTTGTTACGCCTTGAGCGATTCTCCATGTCCTCTAATTTGTCCCATATCTGTGCGATATCAGCCTTGTTAGCTGGCGGGTTAGCTTGCCAGCCCTGCTCAGTCACTTCCAAGTACTCCACTCGTTTCTCTACGTCGTCCATTCTTGTAATAAGGGATGATAGTTTAGCTTCCACCGACGCTGTGGTGCAACGTATTTCTGCGAGCCCCCCGAGATCTTCAGAAATCTTTGTAAGCATTGAGTAGATGTTGCTAATATCTTGAGCTAAGTCGTTAGCTTGCTGCTGCTCGGGCGCTTTAGCTCCATCTTGCATCATGGCGTCGGCCCCCTGAGACCGTAGTAGTCTTTTTATGTCTCCACAGCCTGAAGTCTTAGAAAGTTTCGACATTTTTAGCACCCCCTTCAACTAAAAGTACTTAGTCTGAGTGATAATATATCTGGTGTTGATATTAAACAGGATAAAGATAGCAATGAAGTGCGGAGCTCCCTACTCCGTGGCTTCCTCTCGCATCACGTCGCGTGACTCCCATCATGGGGCTAGGTTAAGGTTTAAGGTTTTTGGCGTGGAGTTAAAATCACTGTCCAAAACCTTTGTAGGAAGTCTTTTCCAACCTTTTGGAGTTAGTTGGACCACTAAAAAAAAGAAAAATGAAAAAAAAAAATTTGGGGTGTTCGGGCTTCCTGAAGGTAATACCCGGGTATTAGGTTTTGGGGCTAGGATTAGGTTTAAGGTTTTTGGCGTTAGGGTTAAAATCACTGTCCAATATTTTTTGAGGAACATGTTTCAGACCTTTTGGAGTTAGTCAGACCAAAAAAAAAGAAAAAAGAAAAAAAAATATTTGGGGTTTTCGGGCTTCCTGAAGGTATTAGGTTTTGGGGCTAGGGTAAGGTTTAAGGTTTTTGGTGTTAGAGTTAAAATCACTGTCCAAAACCTTTTAAGAAACAAGATTCAGACCTTTTGGAGTTGGTTACACCAAAAAAAAATGTAAAATGAAAAAAAAAATATATACAGGTTGTTTGGGCTTCCTGAAGGTAATACCCTTCAGGTTTAAGTATTAGGTTATGGGCTTGGATTAGGTTTAAGGTTTTTGGCGTTAGGGTTAAAATCACTGTCCAATATTTTTTAAGGAACATGTTTCAGACCTTTTACAGCTAGTTTGACCAAAAAAAAAAAAGAAAAAGAAAAAATATATATTTGGGTTGTTCGGGCTTCCTGAAGGTAATACCCGGGTATTAGGTTATGGGGCTAGGGTTAGGTTTAAGGTTTTTGGCGTTAGGGTTAAAATTACTGTCCAATATTTTTTAAGGAACATGTTTCAGACCTTTGGGAGTTAGTTAGACAAAAAAAAAATAAAAATAAAAATAAAAATATATATTTGGGGTGTTCGGGTCTCCTGAAGGTAATACCCGGGTATTAGGTTATGGGGCTAGGGTAAGGTTTAAGGTTTTTGGTGTTAGAGTTAAAATCAGTGTCCAAAACCTTTTTAGGAACATGTTTAAGACCTTTTGGAGTTGGTTACACCAAAAAAAATGTAAAATGAAAAAAAAAATATTTGGGGTGTTCGGGCTTCCAGAAGGTAATACCCGGGTATTAGGTTTTGGGGCTAGGGTAAGGTTTAAGGTTTTTGGTGTTAGGGTTAAAATCACTGTCCAAAACCTTTGTAGGAACTCTTTTCCAACCTTTTGGAGTTAGTTAGACCAAAAAAAAGAAAAAAGAAAAAAATATATTTGGGGTCTTCGGGCCTTCTGAAGGAAATACCCAGGTATTAGGTTATGGGGCTAGGGTAAGGTTTAAGGTTTTTGGCGTAAGGGTTAAAATCACTGTCCAAAACCTTTTTAGGAACTTGTTTCAGACCTTTTGGAGTTGGTTACACCAAAAAAAATGTAAAATGAAAAAAAAATATTTGGGGTGTTCAAGCTTCCTGAAGGTAATACCCGGGTATTAGGTTATGGGGCTATAGTAAGGTTTAAGGTTTTTGGCGTTAGGGTTAAAATCACTGTCCAAAACCTTTGTAGGAAGTCTTTTCCAACCTTTTGGAGTTAGTAAGACCAAAAAAAAAACGAAAAATGAAAAAAAATATTTGGGGTTTTCGGGCTTCCTGAAGGTAATACCCGGGTATTAGGTTTTGGGGCTAGGGTTAGGTTTAAGGTTTTTGGCGTTAGGGTTAAAATCACTGTCCAATATTTTTTAAGGAACATGTTTCAGACATTTGGGAGTTAGTTAGACAAAAAAAAAAAGAAAAAGAGAAAAAAAAAATTGGGTTGTTCGGGCTTCCTGAAGGTAATTCCCGGGTATTAGGTTATAGGGCTAGGGTAAGGTTTAAGGTTTTTGGCGTTAGAGTTAAAATCAGTGTCCAAAACCTTTTAAGGAACATGTTTAAGACCTGTTGGAGTTGGTTACACCAAAAAAAAAATGTAAAATGAAAAAAAAAAAATTGGGGTGTTAGGGCTTCCTTTAGGTAATACCCAGGTATTGGGTTATGGGGCTAGGGTAGGGTTTAAGGTTTAAGGGGTTAGGGTTAAAATCACTGTCCAAGACCTTATTAGGAACATGTTTCAGACCTTTTGGAGTTAGTTAGACAAAAAAAAACGAAAAATGAAAAAAAAATCTTTGGGGTGTTCGGGCTTCCTTTAGGTAATACCTGGGTATTGGGTTACGGGGCTAGGGTAGGGTTTAAGGTTTTTGGAGTTACGGTTAAAATCACTGTCCAATATTTTTTCAGGAACATGTTTCAGACCTTTTGGAGTTAGTTAGACCAAAAAAAAACTGAAAAATGCCAAAAAAATGTTTTTGGGGGTGTTAGGCTTCTTTTAGGTAATACCTGGGTATTGGGTTACGGGGGGAAGGTGAAGGTTTAAGGATTTTTGCGCAAGGGTTAAAATCACTGTCCAAAACCTTTTTATGAACTTTTTTCCAACCTTTTGGAGTTAGATAGACCAAAAAAAAAACTGAAAAATGTCAAAAACATTTTTTTTTAGGTGTTTGGGCTTCCTTAAGGAAATACGCAGGTATTGGGTGACGGGGCGAGGGTAAGGTTTAAGGTTTATGGTGTTAGGGTTAAAATCACTGTCCAAAACCTTTTCAGGATACTTTTTTCCAACCTTTTGGGGTTAGTTAGACAAAAAAAAAAAACGAAAAAAAAAAAAAAAAAATTCTTGGGTTGTTAGGGCTTCCTTTTGGTAACACCCGGGTATTGGGTTACGGGGCTAGGGTTAGGTTGAAGGTTTTTGGGGTTAGGGTTAAACTCACTGTCCAAAACCTTTTTAGGAAAATTTTTCAGACCTTATGGAGTGAGTAAGACCGAAAAAAACGTAAAATGAAAAAAAAATGTTTGGGGTTTAAAGGCTTCCTTAAGGTAATACTCAGGTATTAGGTTATGGGGCTAGGGTAAGTGTAGTGGCTAAGCCCCAGCTTGAAGCCACTGAGGGGCTGCAGGACAGGCTAAACTTAACAACGCGCTGAGTACACTTACTGGCACGTCCAATTAATTCAAGTCCACTCCTTGTTCGCTTAATGTGATCTTTTATTTCTCACATTTTGTAGAAATATCAAGTCAACACCACAGCAAAGCATCTTGAACGGAGATAGCGGTACCAAAAGCATATCTTCTAGCGGTTGAAAAACTGTGCGCTCTTCCGTCCGGCAACACCTGCCCAGTGACCCAAAGTTCCCACCTTTATGACAAAAAGAAAACACACCCACCACCCGCTGGCATAAATTGGTATTGCAGTGAGACAAAAATGGCTCCTACACACCGGCCCCTAATTGTAATGGATACCAGACATACAATTTTTTCAAATATAAACCAGGGAGCCATAATCAAAAATAATACAATGACCATATTTACAGCACAAATTATTTCATGTATGATATTCATGTGAATCTTTGACCCTTTGACCTTCTATTCTGTACCTTCACAAAGCCAGCAAAGCTTTGTCACAGGACGTTCAATGATGCTTGACTTTGTCTGTAAACGTACTGAACGCACCAGGCCTTTTTTATCCTGAAAAACCTCCAAGACTCTTCCTAATGGCCAGGAGCCTCTTGGGGCAGTAGCATCCATTATAACCACAATATCTCCAGGCTTTAAATTCCTCCTTTCCTGGTTCCACTTTTGCCTTTCCTGCAGTAGAGGTAGATATTCCCGTATCCAGCGTTTCCAGAAAAGGTCAGCTATATACTGAACCTGTCTCCATCTTCGCTTTACATACAGATCATGTGGTTCAAATAATCCAGGTGGTAAAGATGGTCTTCCCTTCATGAGTAGAATATGGTTGGGGGTAAGTGGTTCCAGATCGTTTGGATCATCGGAGAGCTTGGTGATGGGACGATCGTTTAAAATGGCTTCAGCTTCACACATCACTGTTTGAAGTCCATCATTATCCAGTCTTTGTTGTTGACAATACTGAATGATAGCGAGTTCAGCCTCCAAAAGTTCCTGAACTGTCAAAGCTTGTTTCTTAGGCTTGTCTGATCTTATTTTGCTGGTATTGGGAGCCTCCGTCTCCTTCCTCCTGCAACATTTTTCCAGCAGAATGCCTTTCAGCCTAAGAAACCAGGCAACAGATACTTTAAGCTTCATCCAGTCTGAAAAGTAGGCTATTAGCCGACCAGTGGCTTCAGGTGAACCTTCCACATGGATGACATTCACCGTGGCTTCCTTCTTGACCTCTGTGTCAGTTGCTGATATAGCAATCTCTACCAGCTTTGCAGGCCAGTTACCTTCTGGTTCATACAGAAACTTTGGACCCTGAATCCACCTGTTGTCCTGTATGAAATTTTCAACTCTCACTCCTCTGGATGCAATATCTGCAGGACCTTGCAACCTTTGTTTTACCACAGAGAAGTTGTTGGGCAGAGACACATCCTCCTTCTTAAAGGGTAACTTCAAGTTGTAATGACCCTCTCTGGCTGTAGTAGAACTTTCCACAATCTCCATGAACCTCTTGTCCTCCCTCGAGAGCCCCTTTTCCTCTGTAGCTCTCTCGTTAAAGTCATGGTTGTACTGCTCCTTTAGCATAACTTCCAACCTGCTCACAGAAATCCTGTTCACAACCACTGAAGGGACCTCATCTTCCAAGCTGCTTCCATTTCCTTGTAAAGGGCCATTAATTATCCATCCCAATGCTGTTCTTATAGCATACGGGCCTTCCCCTTGGCTATTTATGACCTCCCAAGGCTCCAATAGCTTGGGAGTGTTGCTTCCAATCAACAGATCCACGTTAGCCTTTATGTTGGGAATTTTTATCTTTGACAAGTAGGACCACTTTGCCAGATCTTCTTCAGTCACAATGTTGTCTGTGCTTACAGGCATTTTCTTTTGGGTGAGGGTTTCAGGAAGGTTGTAGAAAAGGTTAGTCTCCAAACCAGCTATTTCTAAGCCAGATACTGAATAAGTAGGGACCACCCTTTCCTGTCCCATAGTTTGTAGGAGAAAGTTAGTTCGTCTGCCAGCAAGATTGAGCCTCTGCATAAGCTGTTCTGAACAAAAGGTGGCTGTACTTCCAGGATCCAAGAATGCATAAGTATTGATGATACGGTCTCCTTTGATGGATTTAACCCGGACTGGGAGGATGGAAAGAAGACAGCGATCATCTCCGGCCCCTGTATGACCACACGTTTCATGAGATGATGTGATGTTACATGCGACCGGCTCCTTGGAGTACTTTGTGTGTGTCTTATCGTTGTCATTTTGTTCAATATGAAGCACACTGGGGTGGCCTCGACTACAAACCCTGCAAGTCAAGCGCTTATCACAGTTTTGACTAATGTGCCCAGCACATAAACAGCCGAAACAAAGCTCCTTTTCCTTTAGAAAGCTTATTTTGTCTCTGTGTTTCTTCTTTTCAAACTGCTGACATGCTTCCAATAAGTGGCTTCCAGAACAGTACACACAAGTTAACTTATGCACAAATCCATGCACCGGTGAATCCACCCTTAACCTTCTGGAGTTCTCCTCTGATTGTGCTGGTGTAATGGTGGTGGCGAAGCTGTTTCCTCTCAACTTACTCACTGGCTGTGACCTCATCCTGGGGTTGACCTTGGAAATAGATAATCCAGAAGGAACATCTCGAATGTCACCAAATAGAGGGTCAGATATTATTCTGACATGTTTTTCAATGAATGCAACCAGATCCCTGAAAACAGCTCTATGGTCAGATGCCTCTAATATTTCGTATGCCACAGTCCTCCATCGTTCTCTCACCTTAAATGGTAGCTTGGACATGACTGCTCTCATGGTACTTGGACTGTCTAACTCCCTCATGTACTGCAGTCTCTCCATGACATTGCAACATGAACGCAGAAAAAGAGAGTAACTTTGCATTGCGTTCACATCTTCGGCTTTTATTGCAGGCCAAGCCAGAACACTTTCAATGTATGCAGTAGCGATCTTATACTCATTGCCAAAATGTTCTTGAAGCAGCTGTTTTGCTTGAGTAAAGCCGTACTCTGGAGCCATATGCTGGCAGCTCCGAACCAGTTCCCTTGGCTGCCCTCTGGTGAACTGCTCGAGGTAGTACAAGCAATCTCCTCTGCTGACCTTATCCTCCACTCCTTGCTCAAAGGCTCGCTTGAAGGAAATGTACTGAAGAGGATCCCCATCAAATATTGGAATGTCACGTGCTGGCAGTGACATTAAGCGTTGCTGATGTACAAGAGCTGCTGTTATTTCATTCTGCCTTTCCATTATGGCACAGATGTTTCCAAATTGCCTCTCATCCGTTGACTGAGCGCTTAAAAGTGTAGGTTCCATAGGCTGTGAGGATACGTCCTGTCGCACTGTGCATGGCTGCCTAGCCTCCTCTGCTATCGTAGCAGTTGGTGGAAGATCATGTGCTGGCAGTGACCAATCCTTTGCCTCCTGTTTGCTCTGAGTTGCTGGTTTGTATGTTTTTGCCATTGGGTTGAGCCTTTTAGAAGCTGTTGCCTTTTTGTGCTTGTCCAGGTAGGAATTCATTGCATTTGATGTTGCTGTAGAACCACTCCGAGACTCAGAAGCTTGTAGCACTGCTAGTTTAGCAGTAGATGCAGCTAGCTTTGCTTCCAACTCCAGCTGTTGCTTTTTCCTTTTAAGCTGTTGCTCTTGTTCCTCCAAAGCATGCATTTTCTGTAAAGCTGCAGCATGAGCAAGCAACTCTGCTCTTTCGGCCTCAGCTTTAATTCTTGCCGCAGAAGTAGTGCTTGACTTTCCACTGCGTGAGCTTTTTCTGCTTGAAAGCTTGCTTGGTACATTTGAAACACTGTCCTCTGGATTCACATCATCGTTATCATCCTCATCACCATCATCATCATCATCATCACCCTTTAATGTCTGTTCAGCAACTGAGACCCACATTTTCACATGAGGAATAAATTCATCATTGGGTATCATTTTTGCTTTGAACCATATGCTGTGCTTTTCTTTTTCATCATCAGGCAAAATATCAATTAAACACCCATGAACACCTTTGGCTTCATCACACAATTTGATCAAATCATCAAGAGCACGCTGAACCTTTACATTGTCGTTGCTTTGCATAAACCCTTTAATTTTTTCTCTTAAGCCACCTGCCTTATTTAGCTTAGCTTTCCTTGTAGCTTGCAACTTATCAAACTTTTCAGCCAAGGCTTTAGCAGTCAGAGTTACAACGCGTTTTGGCTTGTCCTTTTGCGCATTAATGTCAATGTTCATGTTCATTTCGGCTGATTGCGGAACAGCCTCTGCGGGATTTTTCACAGTTTCACCAACATCCATATTGTTTTAACCATACGCGCAACATCGATCACGCTCGTTGTTCGCCCCCTTTGACCACCAATGCATTGGATTTACGTACTGAACAATTGTGCACTTAACATGAATGGCCATTCATAAATTTGTAGCGCTACTACTCACGGTGGACGCCTTGATGATCCCGGTGAATGACTCCTTTGTCGGCAGCGTTTGAAGATTGGCTCCCGGTGTTCTTTCTCCCGGTGTCCTCTCTCCCGGCGGCGTTCTCTCTCCCGGTGTCGTCCTCTCTCCCAGCGGCGTTCTCTCTCCCGGTGTCATCCTCTCTCCCGGCGTCGCATGCGATAGGCAAGCTCCCTCAGGTACGTTCAAGTCAGCTTTCCCGGATCCCATCAGCTAGAAACTGTAGTGTTGTCCGCGACATCCAACGCCGCCTGACTGTGAAGCTCTTCCCACTGACTTCAGCAGTTTTTCAACTTTGTGTAGTGGCTAAGCCCCAGCTTGAAGCCACTGAGGGGCTGCAGGACAGGCTAAACTTAACAACGCGCTGAGTACACTTACTGGCACGTCCAATTAATTCAAGTCCACTCCTTGTTCGCTTAATGTGATCTTTTATTTCTCACATTTTGTAGAAATATCAAGTCAACACCACAGCAAAGCATCTTGAACGGAGATAGCGGTACCAAAAGCATATCTTCTAGCGGTTGAAAAACTGTGCGCTCTTCCGTCCGGCAACACCTGCCCAGTGACCCAAAGTTCCCACCTTTATGACAAAAAGAAAACACACCCACCACCCGCTGGCATAAATTGGTATTGCAGTGAGACAAAAATGGCTCCAACAGTAAGGTTTAAGGTTTTTGAGGTTATGGTTAAAATCACTGTCCAAAACCTTTTAAGGAACATGTTTCAGACCTTTTGGAGTTAGTTAGACCAAAAAAAGAATGTAAAATGAAAAAAAAAATGTTTGGGGTGTTAAGGCTTCCTTAAGGTATTAGGTTATGGGGCTAGGGTAAGGTTTAAGGTTTATGGTGTTAGGGTTAAAATCACTGTCCAAAACCTTTTCAGGATACTTTTTTCCAACCTTTTGGGGTTAGTTAGACCAAAAAAAAAAAACGAAAATTAAAAAAAAAAAATTCTTGGGTTGTTAGGGCTTCCTTTTGGTAACACCCGGGTATTGGGTTACGGGGCTAGGGTTAGGTTGAAGGTTTTTGGGGTTAGGGTTAAACTCACTGTCCAAAACCTTTTTAGGAAAATGTTTCAGACCTTATGGAGTGAGTTAGACCGAAAAAAACGTAAAATGAAAAAAAAATGTTTGGGGTTTAAAGGCTTCCTTAAGGTAATACCCAGGTATTAGGTTACAGGGCTAGGGTAAGGTTTAAGGTTTTTGAGGTTATGGTTAAAATCACTGTCCAAAACCTTTTAAGGAACATGTTTCAGACCTTTTGGAGTTAGTTAGACCAAAAAAAGAATGTAAAATGAAAAAAAAAATGTTTGGGGTGTTAAGGCTTCCTTAAGGTAATACCCGGGTATTAGGTTACGGGGCTAGGGTTAGGTTGAAGGTTTTTGGGGTTAGGGTTAAACTCACTGTCCAAAACCTTTTAAGGAAAATGTTTCAGACCTTATGGAGTTAGTTAGACCAAAAAAATGTAAAATGAAAAAAAAAAGTTTTTTGGGGTGTTAGGCTTCTTTTAGGTAATACCTGGGTATTGGGTTACGGGGGGAAGGTGAAGGTTTAAGGATTTTTGCGCAAGGGTTAAAATCAATGTCCAAAACCTTTTTAGGAACTTTTTTCCAACCTTTTGGAGTTAGATAGACGAAAAAAAAAAACTGAAAAATGTCAAAAAAAAAAATTTGAGGTGTTTGGGCTTCCTTTAGGAAATACGCAGGTATTGGGTGACGGGGCTAGGGTAAGGTTTAAGGTTTATGGTGTTAGGGTTAAAATCACTGTCCAAAACCTTTTCAGGATACTTTTTTCCAACCTTTTGGGGTTAGTTAGACCAAAAAAAAACGAAAATTAAAAAAAAGAAATTCTTGGGTTGTTAGGGCTTCCTTTTGGTAACACCTGGGTATTGGGTTACGGGGCTAGGGTTAGGTTGAAGGTTTTTGGGGTTAGGGTTAAACACACTGTCCAAAACCTTTTTAGGAAAATGTTTCAGACCTTATGGAGTGAGTTAGACCGAAAAAAACGTAAAATGAAAGAAAAATGTTTGGGGTTTAAAGGCTTCCTTAAGGTAATACCCAGGTATTAGGTTACAGGGCTAGGGTAAGGTTTAAGGTTTTTGAGGTTATGGTTAAAATCACTGTCCAAAACCTTTTAAGGAAAATGTTTCAGACCTTTTGGAGTTAGTTAGACCAAAAAAAGAATGTAAAATGAAAAAAAAAAATGTTTGGGGTGTTAAGGCTTCCTTAAGGTAATACCCGGGTATAAGGTTATGGGGCTAGGGTCAGGTTTAAGGTTTTTGGGGTTAGGGAGAAAATCACTGTCCAAGACCTTATTAGGAACATTTTTCAGACCTTTTGGAGTTAGTTAGACCAAAAAAATGTAAAATGAAAAAAAAAAAAATGTTTGGGGTGTTAGGCTTCTTTTAGGTAATACCTGGGTATTGGGTTACGGGGGGAAGGTGAAGGTTTAAGGATTTTTGCGCAAGGGTTAAAATCACTGTCCAAAACCGTTTTAGGAACTTTTTTCCAACCTTTTGGAGTTAGATAGACCAAAAAAAAACTGAAAAATGTCAAAAAAATTTTTTTGAGGTGTTTGGGCTTCCTTAAGGAAATACGCAGGTATTGGGTGACAGGGCTAGGGTAAGGTTTAAGGTTTATGGTTTTAGGGTTAAAATCACTGTCCAAAACCTTTTCAGGATAGTTTTTTCCAACCTTTTGGGGTTAGTTAGACCAAAAAAAAAAACGGAAAAAAAAAAAAAAATTCTTGGGTTGTTAGGGCTTCCTTTTGGTAACACCCGGGTATTGGGTTACGGGGCTAGGGTTAGGTTGAAGGTTTTTGGGGTTAGGGTTAAACTCACTGTCCAAAACCTTTTTAGGAAAATGTTTCAGACCTTATGGAGTGAGTTAGACAGAAAAAAACAAAAAATGAAAAAAAAATGTTTGGGTTGTGTGGGCTTCCTTTAGGTAATACCCGTGTATTGGGATACAGGGCTAGGGTAAGGTTTAGGGTTTTTGGGGTTAGGATTAAAATCACTGTCCAATATTTTTCAGGAACATGTTTAAGACCTTTTGGAGTTAGTTAGACCAAATTAAAAAAGAAAAAAAAATTTGGGGTGTTAGGGCTTTCTTTAGGTAATACCCAGGTATTGGGTTATGGGGCTAGGGTAGGGTTTAAGGTTTAAGGGGTTAGGGTTAAAATCACTGTCCAAGACCTTATTAGGAACATGTTTCAGACCTTTTGGAGTTAGTTAGACAAAAAAAAAAACGAAAAATGAAAAAAAAATCTTTGGGGTGTTCGGGCTTCCTTTAGGTAATACCTGGGTATTAGGTTACAGGGCTAGGGTAAGGATAAAGGTTTTTGGAGTTAAGGTTAAAATCACTGTCCAATATTTTTTCAGGAACATGTTTCAGACCTTTTGGAGTTAGACCAAAAAAAAACTGAAAAATGCCAAAAAAAAGTTTTTTGGGGTGTTAGGCTTCTTTTAGGTAATACCTGGGTATTGGGTTACGGGGGGAAGGTGAAGGTTTAAGGATTTTTGCGCAAGGGTTAAAATCACTGTCCAAAACCTTTTCAGGATACTTTTTTCCAACCTTTTGGGGTTAGTTAGACCAAAAAAAACCCCGAAAAATTAAAAAAAAAAATTCTTGGGTTGTTAGGGCTTCCTTTTGGTAACACCCGGGTATTGGGTTACGGGGCTAGGGTTAGGTTGAAGGTTTTTGGGGTTAGGGTTAAACTCACTGTCCAAAACCTTTTTAGGAAAATTTTTCAGACCTTATGGAGTGAGTTAGACCGAAAAAAACGTAAAGTGAAAAAAAAATGTTTGGGGTTCAAAGGCTTCCTTAAGGTAATACTCAGGTATTAGGTTACGGGGCTAGGGTAAGGTTTAAGGTTTTTGAGGTTCTGGTTAAAATCACTGTCCAAAACCTTTTAAGGAACATGTTTCAGACCTTTTGGAGTTAGTTAGACCAAAAAAAGAATGTAAAATGAAAAAAAAAATGTTTGGGGTGTTAAGGCTTCCTTAAGGTATTAGGTTATGGGGCTAGGGTAAGGTTTAAGGTTTATGGTGTTAGGGTTAAAATCACTGTCCAAAACCTTTTCAGGATACTTTTTTCCAACCTTTTGGGGTTAGTTAGACCAAAAAAAAAAACGAAAATTAAAAAAAAAAAATTCTTGGGTTGTTAGGGCTTCCTTTTGGTAACACCCGGGTATTGGGTTACGGGGCTAGGGTTAGGTTGAAGGTTTTTGGGGTTAGGGTTAAACTCACTGTCCAAAACCTTTTTAGGAAAATTTTTCAGACCTTATGGAGTGAGTTAGACCGAAAAAAACGTAAAATGAAAAAAAAATGTTTGGGGTTCAAAGGCTTCCTTAAGGTAATACTCAGGTATTAGGTTACGGGGCTAGGGTAAGGTTTAAGGTTTTTGAGGTTATGGTTAAAATCACTGTCCAAAACCTTTTAAGGAACATGTTTCAGACCTTTTGGAGTTAGTTAGACCAAAAAAAGAATGTAAAATGAAAAAAAAAATGTTTGGGGTGTTAAGGCTTCCTTAAGGTATTAGGTTATGGGGCTAGGGTAAGGTTTAAGGTTTATGGTGTTAGGGTTAAAATCACTGTCCAAAACCTTTTCAGGATACTTTTTTCCAACCTTTTGGGGTTAGTTAGACCAAAAAAAAAAACGAAAATTAAAAAAAAAAAATTCTTGGGTTGTTAGGGCTTCCTTTTGGTAACACCCGGGTATTGGGTTACGGGGCTAGGGTTAGGTTGAAGGTTTTTGGGGTTAGGGTTAAACTCACTGTCCAAAACCTTTTTAGGAAAATGTTTCAGACCTTATGGAGTGAGTTAGACCGAAAAAAACGTAAAAAGAAAAAAAAAATGTTTGGGGTTTAAAGGCTTCCTTAAGGTAATACCCAGGTATTAGGTCACGGGGCTAGGGTAAGGTTTAAGGTTTTTGAGGTTATGGTTAAAATCACTGTCCAAAACCTTTTAAGGAACATGTTTCAGACCTTTTGGAGTTAGTTAGACCAAAAAAAGAATGTAAAATGAAAAAAAAAAATGTTTGGGGTGTTAAGGCTTCCTTAAGGTATTAGGTTATGGGGCTAGGGTAAGGTTAAAGGTTTATGGTGTTAGGGTTAAAATCACTGTCCAAAACCTTTTCAGGATACTTTTTTCCAACCTTTTGGGGTTAGTTAGACAAAAAAAAAAAAGATAAATGAAAAAAAAAATTTCTTGGGTTGTTAGGGCTTCCTTAAGGTAATACCCAGGTATTAGATTACAGGGCTAGGGTAAGGTTTAAGGTTTTTGAGGTTATGGTTAAAATCACTGTCCAAAACCTTTTAAGGAACATGTTTCAGACCTTTTGGAGTTATTTAGACCAAAAAAAGAATGTAAAATGAAAAAAAAAATGTTTGGGGTGTTAAGGCTTCCTTAAGGTTATACCCGGGTATTAGGTTATGGGGCTAGGGTCAGGTTTAAGGTTTTTGGGGTTAGGGAGAAAATCACTGTCCAAGACCTTATTAGGAACATTTTTCAGACCTTTTGGAGTTAGTTAGACCAAAAAAATGTAAAAAAAAAAAAAAAAAATGTTTGGGGTGTTAGGGCTTCCTGAAGGTAATACCCAGTTATTAGGTTACGCGGCTAGGGTAAGGTTTAAGGTTTTTGGGGTTAGGGTTAAAATCACTGTCCAATATTTTTTAGGAACTTTTTTCCAACCATTTGGAGTTAGATAGACCAAAAAAATGTAAAATGAAAAAAAAAAATGTTTGGGGTGTTAGGGCTTCTCTTAGGAAATACCCAGGTATTGGGTTACGGGGTAGGTTAAGGTTTAAGGTTTTTGGCGTTAGGGTTAAAATCACTGTCCAAAACCTTTTTAGAAACATGTTTCAGACGTTTTGGAGTTAGTTAGACCAAAAAAAATGAAAAATTTAAAAATAAATGTTTGCGGTGGTAAGGCTTCCTTTAGGTAATACCCGGGTATGGGGTTACGGGTCTAGGGTCAGGTTTAAGGTTTTTGGAATTAGGGTTAAAACCACTGTCAAATACCTTTTTAGGAACATTTTTCAGACCTTTTGGAGTTAGGTAGAGAAATAAGAACTGAAAAATGAAAAAAAAAAATTGGGGGGTGTTCGGGCTCTTTTAAGGTAATTAGGTTCTGGGGCTAGGGTCAGGATTAAGGTTTTTGGCGCTAGGGTTAAAATAACTTTCCAAAACCTTTTTAGGAACATGTTTCAGATCTTTTGAAGTTACTTAGACCAAAAAAAATGATAAGTGAAAAAAAAAATGTTTGGGGTTTTAGGGCTTCCTTTAGGTGATACCCGGGTATTGGGTTATGGGACTAGGGTTAGGTTGAAGGTTTTTGGGGTTAGGGTTAAAATCACTGTCCAAAACCTTTTTAGGAAAATGTTTCAGACCTTTTGGAGTTAGTTAGACCAAAAAAAAAAAAGAAAAATGAAAAAAGGTTTGGGGGGTGTTCGGGCTTCCTTAAGATAATACCCGGGTATTGGGTTACGGGGCTAGGGTTAGGTTTAAGGTTTTTGGCGTTAGGGTTAAAATCACTGTCCAAAACCTTTTTAGGAACATGTTTCAGACCTTTTGGAGTTAGTTAGACCCAAAAAAAATCGAAAAATGAAAAAACAATTTTTGGGGTGTTAGGGCTTCCTTAAGGTAGTACCCAGGTATTGGGTTAAGGGGGTAGGTTAAGGTTTAAGGTTTTTGGCGTTAGGGTTAAAATCACTGTCCAAAACATTTCTAGGAACATGTTTCAAAACTTTTGGAGTTAGTTAGACCAAACAAAAATTGAAAAATGACAAAAAAATTGTTTGGGGTGTTAAGGCTTCCTTTAGGTAATTTTAGGTAGTATTAGGTTCTGGGTTCTGGGGCTAGGGTCAGGTTTAAGGTTTTTGGCGTTAGGGTTAAAATCACTTTCCAAAACCTTTTTAGGAACATGTTTCAGATCTTTTGGAGTTAGTTAGAACAAAAAAATATGATGAAAAAAAAAATGTTTGGGGTGTTAGGGCTTCCTGAAGGTAATACCCAGGTATTGGGTTACGGGGCTAGGGAAAGGTTTAAGGTTTTTGAGCTTAGGGTTAAAATCAATGTCCAAAACCTTTTTAGGAACATTTTTCAGATGTTTTGGAGTTAGTTTGACCAAAAAAGAATCGAAAAATGAAAAAAAAAATGTTTGGGCTGTTAGGGCTTTCTTAAGGTAATACCCAGGTATTGGGTTACGGGGCTAGGGTAAGGTTTAAGGTTTTTGAGCTGAAGGTTAAAATCAATGTCCAAAACCTTTTTACGAACATGTTTCAGACCTTTTGGAGTTAGTTAGACCAAAAAAAAAAATGTAACATGACAAAAATCGTTTTGGGGTGTTCGGGCTTCCTAAAGGTAATACCTGGGTATTGGGTCACGGGGGTAGGGTAAGGTTAATAGTTTTTTGGGGTTATCGTTAAAATCACTGTCCAATATTTTTTCAGGAACATGTTTCAGACCTTTTGGAGTTAGTTAGACCAAAAAAAAAAACTGAAAAATGCCCAAAATTTTTTTTTGGGGGTGTTAGGCTTCCTGTAGGTAATATTATTTTATATTGGGTTACGGGGCTAGGGTAAGGTTTCAGGTTTTGGGGGTTAGGGTCAAAATCACTGTCCAAGACCTTTTTAGGAACTTTTCCAACCGTTTGGAGTTAGTTAGAACAAAAAAAATCAAAAAATGAAAAAAAAATATTTGGAGTGTTCGGGCTTCCTTCATGTAATACCCGGGTATTGGGTTACAGGGTAGGGTAAGGTTAACAGTTTTTGGGGTTAGGGTTAAAATCACTGTCCAAGACTTTTTTAGGAACATGTTTCAGACCTTTTGGAGATAGTTAGACCAAAAAAAACAAAAAATGAAAAAAAAAATGTTTGGGGTTGTAAGGGCTTCCTTTTGGTAATACCCGGGTATTGGGTTACGGGGCTAGGGTAAGGTTTCAGGTTTTGGGGGTAAGGGTCAAAATCACTGTCCAAGACCTTTTTAGGAACTTTTTTCCAACCTTTTGGAGTTAGTTAAACCAAAAAAAATCAAAAAATGGAAAAAAAATATTTGGGATGCTGGGCTTCCTTCATGTAATACCCAGGTATTGGGTTACGGGGCTAGGGTAAGGTTTAAGGTTTTTGAGCTAAAGGTTAAAATCAATGTCCAAAACCTTTTTACGAACATGTTTCAGACCTTTTGGAGTTAGTTAGACCAAAAAAAAAAATGTAACATGACAAAAATCGTTTTGGGGTGTTCGGGCTTCCTAAAGGTAATACCTGGGTATTGGGTCACGGGGGTAGGGTAAGGTTAATAGTTTTTTGGGGTTATCGTTAAAATCACTGTTCAATATGTTTTCAGGAACATGTTTCAGACCTTTTGGAGATAGTTAGACCAAAAAAAACAAAAAATGAAAAAAAAAATGTTTGGGGTTGTAAGGGCTTCCTTTTGGTAATACCCGGGTATTGGGTTACGGGGCTAGGGTAAGGTTTCAGGTTTTGGGGGTAAGGGTCAAAATCACTGTCCAAGACCTTTTTAGGAACTTTTTTCCAACCTTTTGGAGTTAGTTAGACCAAAAAAAAATCAAAAAATGAAAAAAAAATATTTGGGGTGTTCGGGCTTCCTAAAGGTAATACCTGGGTATTGGGTCACGGGGGTAGGGTAAGGTTAATAGTTTTTTGGGGTTATCGTTAAAATCACTGTCCAATATTTTTTCAGGAACATGTTTCAGACCTTTTGGAGTTAGTTAGACCAAAAAAAAATCAAAAAATGAAAAAAAAAATATTTGGGGTGTTAGGGCTTCCTTCATGTAATACCCAGGTATTGGGTTACGGGGCTAGGGTAAGGTTTAAGGTTTTTGAGCTGAAGGTTAAAATCAATGTCCAAAACCTTTTTAGGAACATGTTTCAGACCTTTTGGAGTTAGTTAGACCAAAAAAAAAAAAAAAATGAAAAAAATATTTGGGGTGTTAGGGCTTCCTAAAGGTAATACCTGGGTATTGGGTCACGGGGGTAGGGTAAGGTTTAAGGTTTTTGAGCTGAAGGTTAAAATCAATGTCCAAAACCTTTTTAGGAACATGTTTCAGACCTTTTGGAGTTAGTTAGACCAAAAAAAAAAAAGGTAACATGACAAAAATCGCTTTGGGGTGTTCGGGCTTCCTAAAGGTAATACCTGGGTATTGGGTCACGGGGGTAGGGTAAGGTTAATAGTTTTTTTGGGTTATAGTTAAAATCACTGTCCAATATTTTTTCAGGAACATGTTTCAGACCTTTTGGAGTTAGTTAGACCAAAAAAAAAACTGAAAAACGCCAAAAAATGTTTTTTGGGGTGTTAGGCTTCCTGTAGGTAATATTATATTATATTGGGTTACGGGGCTAGGGTAAGGTTTCAGGTTTTGGGGGTTAGGGACAAAATCACTGTCCAAGACCTTTTTAGGAACTTTTTTACAACCGTTTGGAGTTAGTTAGAACAAAAAAAAAATCAAAAAATGAAAAAAAAATATTTGGGGTGTTCGGGCTTCCTTCATGTAATACCCGGGTATTGGGTTACGGGGCTAGGGAAAGGTTTAAGGTTTTTGGGGTAAGGGTTAAAATCACTGTCCAAGACCATTTTAGGAACATGTTTCAAACCTTTTGGAGTTAGTTAGACCAAAAAAAACATAAAATGAAAAAAAATGTTCGGGGTGTTACGGCTTCCTTTAGATAATACCCGGGTTTTGGGTTATGGGGCTAGGCTAAGGTTTAAGGCTTTGGACGTAAGGGTTAAAATCACTGTCCAAAACCTTTTTAGGTACATGTTTCAGACCTTTTGGAGTTAGTTAGACAAAAAAAAAGGGACAATGTCAAAAAAAAAAAAATTGTGTTAGGGCTTCCTTTAGGTTACACCTGGGTATTGGGTTGCAGGGCTAAGGTTAGGGATGTAGAATTAGGGTAAAAATCACTATCCTTAAGCGTTTTAGGAGAATGTTTCACACCTTTAGGACACAGACCAAAAAAAAAAAAAATGTCAAAAAAAAAAAAAAAAAATTGGGGGGTGTTAGGGCTTTCTTTTTCTGTTCTTTTTGGAGTATGTTAGAACAAAAAAAGAGCTTCCTTTAAAGAAGCTGGTCAGTGATTTTAACCTTGACCCTATAATCCTAACTTTAGCACTGTAACCCAATCCAGAAAGGAAGCCCTAACAATTTTTTGGACATTTTTCCTTTTTTTTGTAATAACTATCTCCAATAGGTATGGAACATGTTCCTAAAAAGGTATTGCACTATGATCTTAACCCTTACCTCAAATCGCAAAACCTAATTCCGTAACCCAATACCTGGGTGTTATACAAAGAAAGCCCTAAAACCCCCAATTTTTTTTTTTACATTTTTCCTTTTCTTTTGTTCTAACGAACTCCAAAAGGCCTTAAACATGCTCCTAAAAAGGTCCTGGACAGTGATTTTAACCCTGACCCTATAATCCTTAGCACTGTAACCCAATACCCAGCTGTTACAAAAAAGAAGCCCTGACATCCAAAAAAAAAAAAGTTTTTTTTTTGCTAACGAAATCCTTAAGGTTTGAAACATGTTTCTAAAAGGTTCTTGGACAGTGATTTTAACCCTACCCGACATCCCCGCCAAGCTCTGCAGGAGAAGAAGAGGATGCAGAGCTGGAGTTCAGCATCGGGCAAAGTGGAGACGTTATAAACCAACTGTACCGTCCATTGTCATGGGAGACAAGAGGTCTCGCCCCTACAAGATGGAATAGCTCACAGCACTGACTAGGCTGCAGTGGGAGTACCGGGAATGCAGCCTCATGATGTTCACGGAGTCATAGCTGAACAAACTCACTCCGGACCCGCTCGTAACTTTGGACGTATATCATCTCGTCAGAGCAGACCGGAGCGCGAGGGAGAGTGGTAAGAAGAAAGGAGGCAAGATAGCTGTGTATGTGAATGAGAGATGGTGTAAAGCTGGGCGCATCAGTGTTAAAGAGCAGCCCTGCCCTAAGGACATTGAGCTGCTGGCCGTGAGTTTGCGGCCATATTACCTGCCGAGGGAGTTTTCGCAGGTCATCGCGTTAACTGTTTACATCCCCCCCTCGGCTGATGCTGCTGCAGCCTGTGAAATCCACCATAGTGAAGTGTCCAAGCTACAAACATCACACCCTCAGTCTCTGATCACCATCTCTGGAGACTTTCATCTTCAGCTTGAGCCTGAGTCTGGAGAGGGTTCCAACACTGTGGAAGACTTCCTGCGTGATTCCTGTCCCCAAGACAGTACACCCCAGGGAGCCCAACCACTTCAAACCTGTGGCCCTCACTTCTCACCTGATGAAGACTCTGGAGAGGATTGTGCTGAGGAACCTCCGCCCCCTGGTGAGCTCTCATCTGGATCCTCTGCAGTTTGCATACCAGCCGAACATCAGGATGGACAACGCAGTCATCTACCGGCTGCAGAGGTCCATGGCCCACTTGGAGAACACCAGCAGCACTGTGAGGGTCATGTTTTTTGACTTCTATAGTGCTTTCAACACCATCCAGCCTTCACTGCTCAGGGGGAAGCTCGAGAGAGCGGGAGTGGACTGTCACCTAGCCGCATGGACCATGGACTACCTCACTGACAGACCACAGTTTGTGAGGCTTCAGAACTGTGTGTCGGACATGGTGATCTGCAGCACGGGGGCTCCACAGGGGACAGTGCTCTCCCCCTTTCTCTTCACCCTGTACACCTCGAACTTTAGCTACAACTCTGGGAACTGTCACCTCCAGAAGTTCTCTGATGACACAGCCATCGTCGGATGTATATCGCCAGGGGATGAGCGGGAATACAGGACTGTCATCACTGACTTTGTCAACTGGTGTGGCACAAACCACCTCCAGCTAAACGCCAGCAAGACAAAGAAGATGGTTGTGGATTTCCGCAGGAGGAGGACACCTCAGACTGTTCCAGTGAACATCCAGGGTCTGGACATCGAGATGATGGAGTCCTACAGATTCCTGGGTGTCCACCTCAACAAGAAAAACAATAAAACTAATTTTATAACTCGATACCCTGGTGTTACTTAAAAGGAGCCCTAACACCAAAAAAAATGTTTTTTACATTTTTCCTTTTCTTTTGTTGTAAGGAACTCCAAAAGGTCTTAAACATGCTCCAAAAAGGGTCCTGGTCAGTCATTTTGACCCTGACCCTATAATCCTAACCTTCACCCCCCCCCCCCCCCAAAAAAAAAAAAATTTAATAAGATTTTTCCTGTTTTTTTGTTCTAATTAACTCCAAAAGCTCTGTAATATGCTCAAGAAAACCCCAAAAACCCTAACCCAAACCCTAGCCCTGTAACCCAATACCCTGGTGTTACCTACAGGAGAGCCTTACCCCAAAGGAGAAAAAAAAAATAGCATATTTTCTTTTCTTTTTTTGTTCTAACGAACTCCAAATGGTCTGAAATATAATCCTAAAAAGGTCTTGGACATTGTTTTTTCCCCTAACCCCTAAGGAAGCTTGAACCCCCCCCCCCCCCCCCAAAAAAAAAAAAAATTTGAAACGGAAGCCCTGACAAAGAAAAGGACATTTTTATTTTTTTGTTGTAACTAACTCCAAAATGTCTGAAACATGCTCCTAAAAATGCCTCTCACATTGATTTTAACCCTTACCCCAAAACCCAAACCTTAGCCTTAGACCCGTGACCCAATACCCGGGTTGAACCTAAAGGAAGCCCTTACACCCAAAAAAATATTTTGAAATTTTTCATTTTTTTTTTGTTCTAACTCCAAAAGTTCTTAAGCATGGTCCTAAAAAGGTCCCGGAGAGTGATTTGAACCCTTATCGCATATCCCTAACCTTAGCTCTGTAACCCAATACGCGGGTGTTAACCAAAGGAAGCTTTAACACCCAAAATATATTTTTTAACATTTTTCCTTTTTTTTTTGTCACTAACTCCAAAAGGTCTGAAACATGCTCATAAAAAGGTCCTGGACAGTGATTTTAAGCCTAACCCCAAAACCCTAACCCAAGCCCGAGCCCTGTAACCCAATACCCAGGTGTGTCATCCTGTCATCCAAAAAAAAAAGTTTGACAATACTACCTAAAATAAATTATCTTTTTTCAATGATCCCAACCCATCCCACTTCCACCTGGCTCACCTCTTTAGACACAATAATCACTAAATTTTTTTACTGGAAAAATAAAACACCAAGGATCAAACTGGCCACACTTCAAAAACCCAAATTACAAGGCGGATGAGACGCACCACATTTTAGCTATTACTCTCTGGCAAATCAACTACAAAAAATATACAAATGGATACACCCCAATTACTCAGATCACACCTGGTTAGACATAGAACAGACTCTGTGTAAAGATATCCAGATTTCAGACACACCATTTCTCAGTCAATCAATCAAATGCCACCCCTGTTTCAAAGCAATAAGAATAGCATCTGCTCTGACAGCCCGGTGGAAATTTCACAAAATCACAAATACCACTCTTTCACCATCTAACCTCACCCTCATTTGGAATAATCCGGACCTCCTTTGCAACAAAAAAGCACTCTACTTTCACACATGGACAGGAAAGGGCATCACACACCTTAAACACATTTTCCATAATAACACCCTGATATCATTTCCCACTTGGTCCTGGAGTACGGGAGTAATCAATTTCTGGAATATTTATAACTTAAGTCATCTGTCAAATCAAAAATTAACAGCAGATCCACAAATCTAGACCTTTCACCTGCAATATCAGAATTTATTAATATCCTTTCCCCAAGAAAACTCCTCTCCAAAATATATAAAATAATATTACAATCTGACAAAATCATATCTCTACCGTCACAAAAATGGCAACAAGACCTGTCAATTGCTCCTGATGACGACTTCTGGACCCAAATCTGTGAAAACATTTATCTCATGACTAAAAATGCTAACTTACAACTCAAACAATATAAGATACTTCACAGAACTCACTGCACTGGACAAAAAATGTTTTCAAAAATGGGCTTCACCTCGAAAATTTGCACCCACTGCACTCAAAACTGTCCTGACACCTACACTCACACCATCTGGCACTGCACCCCAATCAAACACTTCTGGAAACTAGTCACTGAGTTATTATCACACTTCATGGGCTGCCGCATCCCTTTATCCCCCTCACTCTGCCTTCTAGGAGACTTATCATCACTCACAATAGACAAAACAAACAATAACCTTCTTCTCGTGGCCCTAACTATCGCCAAGAAGACTATCCTGATGAACTGGAAATCTAGGAACACCATTCATCTGGCTCATTGGAAAAACCTGCTCATTGACCACATCTCTCTGGACTATACACCCACCCCTCTCCATACTACAACAGAATCTCAATCCCCCTGGTCCACTGTCATCGACTTCTTAACAACTTAAACACCCCAGTTTCCATCTGTCCAAATAATCTTTTTATTTTATTGCATTTATAAATATATATGTATGTATATATATATATATATATATATATATATATATATATATGTATGTATATACACACACACACACACACACACACACATATATATATATATATATATATAGACAGAAAAAAAATATATATATTTTTTTTTTTCTGTCTGAGAGCCAACCAATCAATTATACATTAATCTATCCATTCTATCAATAACATCCCTACATATTTTGAATACACACACACACGCACACATACACACACGCATACACACATCGCACTCAATAAAACACATTAAGGGGAGGGGAGTGGAGGGGGGGGGGTGTTTTTTTTGTTTTTGTTTTGTTTCTTATAGGTATTATATTTAACATAGAGGGTGTGTGCCCGTGTGCATATGTATATATGCATATGTATGGTCTCCCCGGGTCATTGATGTAGTGGTGATGGTGTAATGATGATGGTGGTATAGGTGATGATAATAGTGGTGTGCTGGTGGTGGTGGTGATGGTGGATTAGTGATGATGATGACAGTAGTGGCAGTGGGGGTGGTGATTGCGGTGGGGGTGTGGAATGGCGGAGGTCATTGTGGTGTGTGGCGGTGTGGTCTGGATTGAGTGCGGAGTGCTTTAGTGCGGAGCTTCAGAGTGTGGTCCAGTGAGGCAAAGGAGAGACTTTGTGCCTGGCTGGAGAATGCAGGCTGTGACCAGGACTTCGTTGAGTGGGCGGGGCCTAACCCCATAACAATAACCTTAGGGTAACACCAGCGATTTGGGTTACAGGGCTAAGGAAGCCCTAACACCAAAAAAAATTGAGATTTTCCTTTTTTTGTGTTCAATTAGGTACTTTCCTTAAGTCACTGATTGATCTGATCATTTCTGTTTGTTTGCCACAGACTGAACAAAAAAAAGTTCATGATATCACACAGTTCCCTGAAAGAGACTCTGAAACATGAGGAGCTGACTCCAATAAACATTCGTCAAACATGGTTTCCGTCAGTGTAGTTCACTCTTGTTACGCTGTTTTCTGTCAAAGTTTTCATTTTTTTAGTAGAGATCAAAAATTTTATGTTGTAAAGGGGAGTAATGTCGTAGCAGATGATCATTTAAATACTGATAAGACTTTTCTTTATCTCCAAATACAATCTTATCCAGCAGGGGGGCGCACTCATCTTTGTCCACCTTCTTCTTGCAGCTCCTCCAAAGATCATCGCTGTAATGGTCGAGGGTACGGAGCGGTCTGGCTTCAGCACAGTGTGTCGGGTTCTGGGCTCCCCGCTGCCTGATGTCCAGTGGTTTGGCCTGTATGACCTTCTAGAAGGTTCTGTGTTAGGCCCGCCGGCTCAGGGCGCCCAGCCTCATTCCTACCACACCCTCAGCCAGCTGAGGGATGTCGAGCCAGGTCAGCAGTATACCTGCAGTGCCTCCAACCCACTGGGTCGAGAACAGGCCACCCTGTATGTGGCCTCACCTCCTCTGTGCTTCTCCTTTCCCTGTCTCTGGGGGCAAAGGTCATCCTGCTTGTGGTGTGCATGGTGGAAGTGAACAGCTCTCATCTCCTGAATCGCTTCTTCCTTTAACTCTATTTTCACAAAAAGTAATTTCCTCATATATTCTCATTTTAGAAAAACTCATTTCCTCGTTTATTCTCATTTCACAAAAACTCACTTTCTCATTTATTCTCATTTACAAAAACTCATTTTCTCATATATTCTCATTTTATGAAGTTTAAACACTTTCTAATTTCTATAGGAACCAAAATCGAAGCAACCAAACCAGATCCAACCAGATTTTTAGTAACCTGACTCTTAGTCACCTGATGCTATATTATCTAACTCTATGTTACCAGAATCTATGTTACCTGAAGCTATATAACCTGACTATATTACCAGACTCTATGATAGATGAATCTACGTTACCTGACTCTGGGCTCTATTTTCGTGCCTTGCCGGAGACGTGCCGCAGGCGCGGTGTAAGTCAGGTCTGCCGCGCCGACAAGGCGTTCCCAAGCACAATTTGGTATTTTGGTGAGAGGCGCAGCCCGGCGTAAGTATCCCCCCTCCCTAACTCAGCTCCTCCCAGCGGCGTAAGTCGGAGCGAGGGAGGAGAGAGGGCGTGGAGTGAGTTAAACACAGCAGAGACCTGTTTTCACCAATCACATAAGCTCCTCTCCTTGCCTTTAAATCCGCCACTGGCGAGGCGTATTACTATTTTCGTGAGGTAGTCAAAGAGATCAAGAGATGTGTGAAGACAGATCTGCCACACGATGGCGACAGAAGGCAGCTCCTCAACAAGTCTCACTGTAAGCGCTGCATTGGGCGTCCTCCACACTCTCTCATATGAGCACAGATGGATTTGGTGTGTGTAATGTTGGACCCACTGGTAAGACAAACACCCTTTTCCACAAATAAAGACACTCACATAAAGTTGCATATATTCAAACCTCACGTGACAAAGGTGGGTTGAGCGCAAACATAAACATAAACTCCAAAAATGGCATCAAAATCGAAAACCAGCTGTGCGTAATGAAGCATCGCGCCCTGTGGCCTGGCTCTTTCTTTCATAGATGTTGGCATATAAAATAAATTTGGCTCACAAAACTGAATATTAAAATATCCGTATGTCGGCTTAAAGTAGATAACTCATCTGAACACTGAAACAAATCATCTGTTCAGCCGCCGCAGCTGCAGCAGGATGGACAGAGGACACGGAGACATGGCCGAGGCGGGCTGCACGAGAAATAAGAGGAAGAGGAAGATAGATGGGGAGGGAGACAAATTAAATATCTTGTTAACTTCATCATATCATGTGTGTTTATTTACTAGATATTTAATTTAATTTAATGCGGATTCAGCTGTGTTGATTCGGTCAGGTTGTGTGTCCAAACGCGTGCCAAACGCGCTCATCAGATAAGATAAAGATCAGAATATATCTATATAGATCTAAATGTATGTGCTGACTCAGATTAATAGTTGTTAATGATTATTTATTGCACTGAAATGTGCCTGACACTGTGGAAACTTGCCTGTGAGGCTTCGGTGACGTATGCCGATACGCCGCCGGTCTACCAAAATACTACTAGACCAGCTGCGCTCCGCCTGCGCTGAAAGCTGACCAGGTTTGAATCAACGAGCTTTCGGCGCACTTTACACGCCACTGGCGAGCACGAAAATGTCACTGTGCCCGCTGATTCTGTCAACACCTCCCCCTGCCACGCCACCACGCCCAGCTTGGCGGATCTCGGTTCGCCTCCGTGCGCCTCAGTCCACGAAAATACCAAACTGGCTGTACGCCGGGCTCCGCCAGACGAAAATACAACTGCGCGGGGTCCGCCACCCTCCGTCGCCTCACCAGCGTACACGAAAGTAGAGCCCTCTGTGTTACCTGACTCTAAGTACCCTGAGTCTATGTGACCTGACTCTATACTCTGTTTGTAGGGTAGAGAAGATTTGATGTTTTCAAATTAATATGAATTAAATTCTTTTAATGATGCAAAAAAAAGGATGAAATATTTCTGTATCAGTCTGGTTTATAGTTCTGCATGTATGAGTGTGTGCGTGTGTATTTTTGTTTCTGTGTATTTTTGTGTGTGTATTTTTGTTTGTGTGTGTGTATTTTTGTTTCTGTGTTAGTAAGTGTGTAAAGTTGGCAATGCCCTGATGCTCCGCCTTTTAATGGGAACAGTGGTGTTGAGAGGATTGCTTCACCTGGCCCAGGTGTGACTCACCTGATGATGACCTGCCTCCACCTGGACCTGCAGGGAGTGAAGCAGCAGAGAGAGACCCCTGCTGCTGTGGTGAGGTGGTGACAGTTTTCAGTTATCCTGATTTTAGCAGAAAACCTCCATGTATCTGAATTAAACACTTTAACCAGAATGTGTTAAGGTAATTCAGGTGATAAATGTCCAAACAAAGACATTTTCCTTATTTTAAACATGTTGACTTACAACAAATTTAACCTCGGTACTCAACTGAAGTTTAAAGAATTTCGTTGTTTTTCATATTGTTTTCATTTTACACATGATGTTAATCTAAAATAAAGTTCCCTGAAATTTGTATAAAGATGTTCATAGTTAACAGTAATAATACTCCACTGTGTGTTTAAACATGGGAGTTAATTTACTAATTATGTGTGATGTTATGCCTTACATTAACTTTAAAACAGATATTTATATCAGTGGAAAATTTACCTTTGACCAGTCTGAGATGAAGAAAAAAAAAAAACAGAGAAACTCACAGTTCAAAATGTTATTTCATTTATTTTTTTTTTTCTGCAGTGGGACTCGTATATTGATATGAATATTTTTATATTTGGGGGAACACAATGAACACAAATCAAAACTTCCTCTCAGCTGCTTTAAAGGCATCAGAATAATCAAAGTCCAGCCACTGCTGAGTTTTAGACACTAACTGTATTATTATTAATTCTCTGATCACTTAGATCATAAATTATGTATTAAAGCAGTCTCTCAGACCTGAAGAGGTCCTCTACATAAACTCCATCTACTTTATTGAAAACATTTATCCAGGCCTCACCAAGTGGACAGCAGAAAATCTTCTATTTTTTAACATATTAAATATAATTCTCTAGATAAATGCAGATCTACAGGGTTAAATATGTCTGCAGGACCTTATCCAAACCGGATTGGTCCCACTATATGGGGAAGAAGGTCGGCGGCCTGTAGCAGACCGGACAAGCCTTCTCGCAGCACTCTCTGTTGCTCCAGCTGAAGTCCTTTTCTCTCTCTGTACTCATGATAACACACTGACCCTCCTCCGGATCACCCAGCTTATGTCCCGCCAAGTCAGTCTCATTCACCGGGTGCTTGTTCAGCCAGTACCAGCTAAGGTTTCTGGAACTGCTACGCATGCCAATCCACACCTCCAGCAGGCTAGCTTCCTTGGCCTGCTCAATTTTGTCGTAAATCTGTGACTGATGGTTGGCATCCAAGAAGCTCACCAGCTCCATGCCTTGGTTTTTGCAGTACTGCACTGATTCCTGCCAGCTGTTCGCCACATCCCCAATTTTAACCGACTCTGGAGATACAGCACAGCCTCTGAAATCTGTGGGAGGTTCAGATAATACATCACTGAAAACGTGAAGAAGAGCGGGAGATAATTAAAGAAACTGAACTCAGAAGTTCATCACATTTGACGTTTGACAGCTTTCAGTACTCAGAATAGCAGGACTTCAAACTTTGGATAAAAAGAATAATGTGTAAACCATCAGACGGTTGACATTGAAATTTATCTGACAGAAACTAAGCATCAGGATAAACTTTATCCATGTTTTTATTTGCACTGTTTTCTAGAAACTATCACAAAAACTAATCGAATGTTACGACCAAGACAATAAAGCTTGCCTTTAGTTCTCTGGACTTTTATTAAGAATTATCACAGGAATATTTTTATAGAAAAAGAAAGCATCTCCTAATTTATCAGAACAGATCTGGTATAAAGTGATTTTTATATTTATCAGTCTGTTTCAATTAGTGTGTCATCTGCTCCGATTGCACGTTTTGATTCCGGTTCCTATCTGACAGAAACGAAGCATCAGGATAAACTTTATCCATGTTTTTATTTGCACAGTTTTCCAAGAACTATCACAAGAACTAATCGAATGTTACGACCAAGACAGTGAAGGAAGCATCTCCTAATTTATCAGAACAGACCTGGTATAAAGTGATTTTTTATATTTATCAGTCTGTTTTAATTGGTGTTTCATCTGCTGAATGTGAACTGGTTTATTTTTATGTTTATCTTTAATGAGACCTTTATTTCTACGTCTGTCTAACTACTAATAACAAGAATAAAAAGAATGAAACTGTAATAATAATTACGATATTAGAAGTAATAATAATAATAATCATCATCATAATCATAATCATAATTATAACAAAAATGAAGGACTAAGTCTTTTTCCATGGAGGTAAGATACAATCACATCATGATAAGAAACATTATAAGTAGGGTTGAACATCTTTTGAAATTTGAACGATTCCGATTCCACGTTTCGATTCAGGCTCCTAACAATTGCCTATTTCGATTCTTTTAAACGGCAGGATAAAAATGAGAGCGCTAACCAGAGTTCTTTTTGAATAAAATTTACAAATTGAAAAGGTTTATTTTCAACCGGTAAATAAAGATTAATCTTTGTTGTCAGGTTGTTTATGAAAAAGGACATGATGCCGACGTTAGTTGGAGATTTAAATTGACCCACCATACACAGTATGATTTGTTTACCACTTCAATGTTAGCAGAAGACAGATGTCAGTTTTTGATTTATTTCTCTGGTTCTGATTGGTTTGAGGAAGACCGGCACAGTGTGTCAAAGACAGCGCTCTTGGTTATTGGTGTTTAATCATGATGGTCATTCACCCTCCTTTTCACGATATTACTGTAATGCAAATGTTTCACTGAGACGACAGTTCATTGCACACACACAAACACACACACTCTCTCTCTCTCTCTCTCTCTCTCTCTCTCTCTATCGTCTTCTTCCTCTTTGTTGGTGTTTAGCGGCTTTTTCTCCCAGTCAGCGGACTCCGGCATCAAAACTTGGAATCGATTTTTGAACGGTTCTGGGAAAATCTGAATGTTGGTCCCGATTCCCATCAATGCTCTGACGCCCAGCTGTTATTATGATGATTTTTTTTTTTTTACATGTTATTTAATGGATTTATTATTTCCCTAAGAGACATTTGTCTGTCGATACATGGACTTGAACATATTCAGCTGCCCCTGCAGTTGTATCAATGAACATCAAAACAACAATGAAAACTAAAACAGCAACAATTAAAACTAGAACAGTCTCCATGGCGCTGTAGTTGATGGTACATACCTGGGGATGTACCAAGAACAGGTGCTGGATTCCCAATCAGGTAATCTTCCTTTCCTCCTTGAAAGTAGACCGCCATTTTGGCGAAGGAATGCCAGATTACGTATTTGTTTGAACTCAGTTTAACTTTGGAAGAGACATAATCTGTCCCTGGAAGCGACTTCCACTCTGGATTTACTAAAGGAGAGTTTCCAATGTGAACTCCTCCAGTGTGATCCTTGTGGACCAGGATCACTGCCAAGTTGTTCACATCAGTGAGGGTGTTGATGACATAACAAGCAGCGAAATCTGTCTCAGGAATCAGACTGAGGAGTAACCCTGGACGAAAGAGGATGGCAGTCCCAGCTATCTCCACCAGCAGGGAGTTTGGGTTAAATGTCTGGATTTTGGAAGATCCTCTGCTCGACAGAAGGACAGACGTCTCTGTTTCAGCGCCCTCAGCAAAGACAGTTGGGATGTAAAACTTGAGCATGTCATCATTGGCGGGTGGCACCATTGTGTACAGCAGACCGCAGGTGCAGTTGTGGCGGATGGCGCAGGTGTGACCAAAGATGACTGTGATTGGATGGTTGGCCGTCACAGTTCTGTATGTATTGTCTGTTATAAAGATCTGAGCGACTTCGTGAGGGTTCAGGAAAACAGTTTGGGCAGTTTGTGCTTCAACAGTGACTTCGTTCTTTTGGTCTGTGTTGAGAATGATGAGCCTGAAAGGTTGGCGTTCAGTTACGTTGGCGCTGACTGAGTTGGTGGTTCTTTTGATTGGTGGTACTGGTGGAACGTAGTACTTTGTTCCCAGCTTGTCATTTGGTCGGACCAGGGCTGATTGCACACTGGTGTTTTTGGCGCTGACCATGTGGACAGCGATTCTTTGGGTGCTCTTAACCATCAGAGCAATGTTTGAGATTTCAGACCTCTTCAGCTCCAGGCTGGCATCATACTCAATCATTTTAACCTCCCCTGCGCTCAGTGTTTCTGAGATTTGTTTCACTGGTGATGTGATTTCCACAGTGGTGTTATCAAACAGGCAGATGACGTAGAGCTTGTTCTTGGAGGAAATTGGGTGAAAGGAGGCAATGTTTTCCACAAAAACTGTGATATACATCTGACCAGTGCTGTCCTCAGATGAAACAGACGTAGATTCTGAGAAAACCAAAAGTTATTAGAAGATACACAAAAACTCAAACCTGCAGGAAAGTATTTCCAACATTTTTGTTACAAAAGATTAATGAAGATGAATTTGTAGACATTAAAGAGGAAAACAGGGCCCTGAAAGAGTAATTGCATTGTACAAGGAGAAAACTGAAAATAATGTTTAACTGATGAAATATCGAGAATTGGATTTGTGGCTGGAGTACAGATAACTAAAAACTTGGTCTTTAGTAAAGTACTGGATTTCATTTTTCCTTTTTACCTGTCTTCAGACCTGCAGACACCACCAGCAGCAGTAGGTGGACAGGTATCATGGTGAAGGCCGATCACCTGAGAACAATTCTTAAACCTAAATCAGCACCTAGAACAAAATTAGCAGAATAAAACCAAAATTAAAAGGAACCAGGAAAAACACCTTAACCTGAATGTTTCAGTATTACACTATAATTCTACATTAAAAAAAAAGCTCAAAAGATCTGAATCACAAAAGGTAAGCTCTCTAATTAAGCCAACTTTTATAACCAGAAAGTAATTATATATTATATTATATATTATTATTATTATTATTATTATTATTATTATTATTATTATTATTAATGTTATTATTATTAATATTTCCTGCCCTCATATTATTTATGTTTTGTACAGTATGTGGTATTCCCCTATAGCCATAATGAAGAGTAGACGCCTCAGCTGCCATCTTGGTCCAGTCCTCCTTTTCATAGACATAATAACCCTTTCACTCTTTTCATTTGTTTGGATTTGTTTGATTTTTACCCCTGCTCTTTAAGGTTTAAAAAAAACCATAATTATATGTTTATATATATATATATATATAGATAGATAGATAGATAAAGAAATATATATGTGTGTGTATTTGTGTATTTATATCTATATAGATATAGATAGATATAGATATATAAAAACAAAAAACAACAATCAATTAATGTTGTATCACAAATATTTGTTTTACATTTATAATAAACCAAACTGCTTGAAAATTGAGTTATGGTGATTATAATCGTTGATCGACCTCTGTTGATTAATGCAGTACATAGACACAGCTTCCCCCGTCCCAAGATGGCGGCCACGTTGAGTTATCATGCCAATGGACATCAGCGAATAAAAATACAATAAAAGAACAGAGAGAGACAGACCACACAACAACTGTGTAAAAATGAGTTTTCAGGCAGGATTTAAAAGCTGTTAATGTTGGGGACAACTAAAATGAGGGGGCCAGGTCGTTCCATGGTTTTGGGGCCACTGCGGAGAACTCCTGGTTTTTAGTTTGGTCTCAGGGAACACAAGAAGCTGCTGTCCTGTAGACCTCAAAGACCTTGGGTGTGTAGCTTTGCAGGAGGTCAGAAATGTGTTGTAGTGCGACTCCATTTAAAGATTTAAAAACAAACATAAAATCTTAAAATGAATCCTGAAATGAACAGAGAGCCTAGGTCCAATATTGAGGCCTTATGTCCAGCAAACGATGCAAAGATAATAATTTAAATTGTGTTTTCTTTCAAGTTAAAAAAGTTTAAGTGCTTCGATATATTCGACACACTGGTCGACTAGTTAAAAGAAACTGCAGTGACAGTAAATATTGTCTGTCCTGTAAATACTTCTGTTATTCTTTTTTCCACATTAAAGGTACATCACCAACTCTACTTGAACTGTCTCCTCCTCTTAATTGCTTACACCAGCTCCAGTAGCTGAACCTAACTTCTGTTCCCAGCCAAGACTAGTCACTGGTTGGTGCATATTAGCAATAGCAGCCTCAAATACATGCTACACTTTTATTTAATTTGGAAGTTTAAATTATTTTCATACTTACTTTACTTTTCTGATAAATGACGATTCTATTGCCCCAGACAGTTTTATTACGATGAATGCAGTAAAAAAAAAAAGATCAGTTTTTAACAGTTACATTGAGCCCTTAAAAAGAAGTCAGTCTTATTTAGTTTGATCATCTCGTTTCTGCGTCTTACCTGTTCGTCAGTTGTCTGTAAAGTGTTTAGGTGAGTCACATCCTTCATCGTGTCTCTGCAGGTTTAGAAACAAACATTTGTCAGTCAAACAAACTGATTTAAAGGATGTTTGCATGAGATCAGAAACAGCCAGGTGTGTGTGTGTGTGTGTGAGAGAGGGGGAGGGGGAGAGGATAAGGAGGACAAAGGAGAGAAGGAAGGGTTTGTCCGAGAAAAGTTAGGAGACAAGAAAGTTACGTTTAAAAAAATCTATATAAGAAATCTATAAAGTGAGAAGAAAAGAGAAGAAAATGAGAAGTAAGAATGAGAAAGAGCGGAGATGAAGAGAAAAGAGAGATGTGGATGAAATGAGAGGAGAGATGGGAAGGTTTGAAAGTCAAATCAGTTTGAGCTTTACTGAGTATGAATCTGGTTTCCCATCCAAATCCTCACAAACACACCCCTCAGTTCACGGGACAAACACTCTCCATGAGAGAAAACAATGTTCTTTTTTTTTCCTCTGTTGGACTGATTAGTCAAACCTAAAACTATGACATTAGTTTTTACAGCTGAACTATTTTTTGATCAAAAGGACTGCATCTAAAGTCTGTGAATTTTAACAGCACCCAAAGAATGGCTGTCCACATGGTCAGCGCCAAAAACACCAGCGTGCAATCAGCCCTGGTCCAACCAAATGACAAGCTGGGAACAAAGTACTGTGTTACACCAGTACCACCAATCAAAGGAACCACCGACTCAGTCAGCGCCAACATAACTGAATGCCAACCTTTCACGCTCATCATTGTCAACACGAACCAAGAAAACGAAGTCACTGTTGAAGCACAAACTGCCCAAACTGTTTTCCTGTGTGGTATCTGGAGTGCTGCACTAACATGCGAGGCCTGGAGGTATTTCTCAGAAACAGCCTGAGGCGACCATTCTCAGAAACAGCCTGAGGTGACCAATTGTGAAATGCGAGCTTGTGTTTTTCTTGTGTCTCCTGGAAGTTGCACGGTTGCAGGTCACAGGTCACAGGTCGCAAATTACAACTCTAGGTTAAATAAAAAAACAGATGGTAACAAAAGATAGCTTGGGAACAAAGAAAGGATGTAGGATGGCCTACATCCCTAATCATATATATATATATCATATAACAGGGTCACAAACTCTGGTTGAGAGAGCTGGACATCATTGGCAGTCCTCTCCCAGCAACTGCAGTGCTGTTCTGATACTGGTGTTGTCTTTATTTATTTTTTTATTTAACAACAAAACAGAGTGACAACAACAACAGAAACAACAAAAAGATAAAAAATTTACAAAAATACTTTTGTGAGGGAGGAGAGGGGGAAAGAATTTATATATGTAATAGAGAATTTAAAAAGAAAAAAAAAACTT